TTTTTGTATGCCCTGATCGGAACCTTCAATTTTAAAGGTATCTGAAAGATCTTGTTCCCAGATTTCTGTAAAATAAAAAAGAAACAGTTTAACAAATCATATAAAAGAAAAATTGCCAATATCGGTCCATGGTCCACTATTTATACCCTTCACCACTCTGTGATAATACCCTGTATCACGTCTTTGTGCATATGTTTGTAACAGGCAAAAGGAATCGAGATAGACCCATGGTTCCTTTTGAGAATATAAACAGAATCACTCAGTCGATTTATGCATGTCCGTCCGTTCATGTATATTTGTGAGCAAAGTACAGATCGCATATATGATCCGATTTGGATGAAGTTTGGCACAGGTCATTTATTTGGCCCAAGGACGAACCCTATTGAAATTGAAGAAAATCTGTTCAGATTTAGATATAGCTTCCATATATAGTTTGGTCCGATTTTATGAAAATGGTGCACCAAACCTCCAAGTCTTGTCCGATTAAGACGAAATTTTGCACAGCGTACTGAATTAGGTCCAGTTTGATGTACGCGAAGTTTTGTTGGAATCGGTTCAAATAAATAGTTCACCAAACTCGCAACATTTTTCCGATTGAAACAAAACTTTGCACAGCGTATTGAATTAGGTCCAGTTTGTTTTATGTGAAATTTTGTTGAAATAGGTTCAGATTTAGATATAGCTCCCATATATAGTTTCGTCCGATTTTATGACTATAGTGCACCAAACTCCAAATATTTGTCCAATTGAGACAACTTTATGCACAGCGTACTGACTTAGGTGTAGATTGATGTACAGGAAGTTTTATTGAAATCGGTTCAAATTTACATATAGCTTCCATATATAGTTTCGTGCGATTTTATGAATATGGTGCATCAAACTCGCAAATTTGTCCAATTGAGAAAAAATTTTGCACAGCGTACTGAATTAGGTATGGTTCAAATTTAGATATAGCTCCCATTTATAGTTTCGTCCTATTGTAAATGGTGCACTGAAGTCCCTATATATGTTTCGATTTGAACGAAATTTAGTGCAGCGTACTAAATTGAGTCTAGAATGATGTGTGCTGAGTTTCCTGGAAATCGGTTCAGATTTAGATATAGCTTCCATATACAGTTTCGTCCGATTTTAGGTAAATCGTGCACTAAAGTCCCTATATATGTACTGTCAAGTTTTGTCAGATAATATGTAATTTTGTGGTCCTAGACTAATTTTCCAGCGAAATGACTGGCATTACGAACTGGAATTTGACATCTATTTTTCGGAATATTTGTTTTTAGAATCTATATCCATATTTCTGCAAATCCCCCATACAAAGGTCACTCGTAATTTTCGGTATGTTCAAGGTCCTAACCCCATTTTTCAAACTAATTGATTGGGGTTGATATTTCGTTTTTTCCCGCAGCATCGATTTTACATATTTTGAACGTTTAACTGATTTGGGAGGATATGAAAAATTCGGCTCGAAGGAACTTGCGGACGTTTTTAATTGTTTCAAATATTAATTTTTTCCAACTGAGAACAAGACGGAGGATTTGTGTGTGTGTGTGTGTAAAGCCGGCTCTTAGCATTCCTAACCGGTTTCTCAGTTCATTCACTAAAATTTCTTTTTGTGTTCTTGCGTTTAAGGTTAAGAAGTTGAGACGCCAACTGTAAACACCTGAGTTTTTATTGTAGTTCCATTTACCTTGTTGTTGCTGCTGTTGTTTTTGTTGTTGCTTTTGATGATGATGATTGTCTTTTTTGGCCAAACTAAGCGTCACGAAGCAGACACTCAAAACAAAAACAGTTAGAAATGAATTTCTGGACATAACAAACATTTTTTCGATTTTATTAAATTAAAATTTATTTTTTTAATTAAATTTTCTAATATTTTTTTATTAAGTTTTCTATTTTTGAATCACGCTAACAAACGTTTTGTGTTTACGATTTAGTGTCCAATAGTCAACTGATGATTTGAACGCTTTGTCTGAGCCATATAAAACCCCTGTCAGCCATGGCCAATTGAACGCAAAGAAAGAAATGTGGGTATGGAGAGTGAGAGAAAGAAAGAGAGCGGACGGGCGAGCGGGAGCTGCCGATCATAGAAAGAAGAAAACAACAACAACGAATTGTGTAATTTCTGGCCAAAGTAAAGAAAGGAGAGAAATGATTAACTGGGGCTTACAGTTTGGTTGAATCTTCATTACAAGGAGACCATAATGTAAGCTTCTTCTTTTGGTGGCCTATCTAGTCCACGGTAGAGATGATAATGGTGATATTACCTGGCACCACCAAATCCATATGTGTGTGCGTTAACATAAATAATATCATTATTGTTGCTGTTGCCTTAATAAACAAATAGGTGGCCTTTAACTCTGGTCTATTGTGTATTTGTTGTTGTTGTTACTAAAAACGTGTCTGTTGCACTAGCAGCAACAACACCAACCAACATCGTACGCAATTATTACAGTTTTTTATTACGATTTTTGCAATACGATTATGTTGCATCGGGAAATGTATTGTGGTGTCTGCACATCAATGCACACATTACGAACATAATTGAATATTAGGGTGGGTAGAACGTCACGTATTTTATGGGAATTTTTCTGGTTATATTTGAAGTTTCCAAAGGATAAATTGCAAATTGCGGGAAATAAATAACAAAGTTATTATGATTTTAGAACGTACACGTTTGTCCAAAAACGTGCGGTCCCTGACGTATGCCTTACAGATTTCTTTACTGTCCATAATGTGTTAATATTAGTCCTTTAAAAAAACCGCTTTCATCTCTATTTAAATTTTAATTTTCAAGTAGAAGCCCTTTCTTTAAATTTATTACATAATTTAATTAACTTCAAACCACCTTAATATTCATCGGTGCAACCAATGATGTTGCAAAGCAAAGAAAGCAAGGAAAACAAAACGGAACAATTATTTTGGGAGTTTTCCGCATTTGATGCTTGAGTGTTTCTGTTACTAACACAGCGCGGTGCTGGCGGCCCAAAACAACAATTTGGATTAACTTCCGAAACAACATTTCATGAGCAGTGAGCAGTTGCATTCGACAATGATTTTTTTTCTTGGTTTGGTCATATCGCGTGTCGGTATTGGACGGAAGTAGTTTATAGATTACCTTTCTAGTTTGGATTGTTAACACAAAAAAATGTAACAATAAGAGAAACAAGAAGAAAATTTATATCATTTGTAATGGTTATTAAAATATTGACACGTTTTGTGCGCATGGGTAATTTAATTTCCCCTCAAAGGAGAAAAACATAACCTCAAAATTGAACAAGTAAACAAAACCTCAAAACAAGCTAAATTTGTTGCTTTATAGATTTCAAAAAGATCTAATGCACGTTTATTAAAATATTTACAGAAGTACTCCTGATTGGCATTAAGAAAAAAAGTTCTTCAGGAAAATATAATCTCAAAAAGTTGAAAATTAAACATAAGCGGTATCGTTGTATAGGGAATAACCCAAGAAATTAGACTCACACCCAAAAATGTTTTCCAAAAACATTTTGTAATTTGATGGGTACATGCACCCACTCAATTGCAGTTAATTTTGTTGGAAAATGTTCCTAACATTTAAAAATCGACAAAATGCTGAAAATCGGATATTTTGTTATAAGGAAGCCTGTTCATGAGGAAATATATATACATGTTGGTAAGGAAATATTGTACCCAATAAGAATAAAAAAATATCATATTATATTGAAATGATTTGGAAATTATAACCAAAATTTTCAAAATACCGAAAATACTCATAACTTTTGGTAGGAAGATTTTCTATCCAATGAGTACCCAAAATATTAAATTGTAACTATTTAGGTTGAAAAACGTGTCCAAAATTCCTTAAAATATCGAACATTTTGGTAAACTCTATATGGGGGCTATACCTAAATATGGATCAATACTGATCATTTTTGTAGGAATATTTTCTATGCAATGAGAGAGAACCCAAAATATTAAATTATAGACAATTCGGTTGGAAAACGTGTCCAAAATGCTGAAAATTGAGGTTACCTCTACACGGGGCATATACCTAAATATGGACCAACATTGATAAATTTTGATATGGGAATTCTTTATTCAATGAGAACACAAAATATTAAATCCCAGTTAATTCGGTTGAAAAACGTGTCCAAAATTCCTTAAAATACCGAAAATTGAGGTTACCTCTATATGAGGGCCATACCTAGATATGGACCAATATCGATTATTTTTGATAGGGAGTTTTTTTATTCATTGAGTACCCAAAATATTAAATTATAGCCAATTCGGTTGAAAAAATTCTTAATATTTTTGATAGGGAGATTTTCTATTCAATGAGAACCCAAAATATTGAATTACAGATAATTCGATTGGAAATTTTGCCACCAAATCCTAAAAATACCAAAAAATATAGGGTGCCACCATTATATTGGGGGCCATACCTAAAAGTAGACCAAAATCACTTATTTTTTGGTAGAGAGATTTGCATCTTATCAGAAACCAGAATCAAACTATAATCTGTCCAAAATATTTTTAATTGTTAAAATCAGAAGGTAGCGCTCTATGGGAGCATTGCCTAAAACGGGACATATACCTACATATTCATGCATGATAGTTTCTAGCTCTCCAAGAATTATAAAAGATGAATTGCAATTCGATTGGAAGATATATGTCCAATTAATTCCAAATTTATTAGTGTTTTCTAACCAAGGATCGGATAAAAAAGGACGAAGAGAATATACGAATAGTGAATTTTCTTTGTCTTTGAAGAGCCATACATGTTCTTCTGGGTTCTTTATATACTCGCCAAACGCTTTAGAAATTTCCCATACACCGTGACCATACTGACCGTGATCACGACTTTTTGTCATAGTTTTATTAATAAGAACATTTATTATTGATCCACTACGTAACCTATAAAACAATAGTTTCACTTTTATAAAATGTTTTTCAAAATCTGAATACAAAACAAATTCTTACAATTTAATGGAAATGTTTTTTAATTAATTTAATTTTTCACATTTCATTTCTTCTTATTCATGGCAGCCCAGTAGCATTCCAGTTCATTACCCTCCCAGTTGAGTGATTTGTTAAAAACACTTTTCGTTGTGTCGTCATCGTTGAAGTCCAATGTGTGGTAGTTGTAAGGAAGAGCCCAAGAGGTAAATAAAAAAAATAAGGAAAAACAAATTATATTATTACAACAACAAAATAGGCATAACTTAATAATGTTTTTTTTTTGTTGTTTTTATTTTTTTTAATTTAGCATTGATAATGATCGTGAAATTTGTGTTGTGTTTAATAATGGAGATGTTAATGAAAGATTGCAATAGCAACAAAACAAGACAACATTTTACAACAAATTATAGGCTACAGTAGCTGATGGTCCGAGGCACCAACATCACCACAAGTGAATTAATGTTGCAACATCAACAACAAACAAATGCTGGGGAGTTTCGTTAATGTCCGATGGCCAATAAAAATTAGTTGGTGGGTCATTGTTGTCGGGTGGGGATTATGCATTACAAGGATAAAGTGATTAAAGCCGTAAAGGTAAATTTTGTGTAAAAAACATGTATTTTGTAATTGTTATCTATTTTTATATAATTTAATTATATATCAAAGCATTTGTCCCGACACAAACTATCAAAGCTTAGATGTTTTATATTCTTAGCCCCTCCTTAACAATGGGTCGTTCATTCCCGGTAATTTAAAAAAATAAATTTTTGATAGGGACATTCATGCAAGATCTTTTATGGATCACCAAAAATAACAAAAACCGAAAATCTGGGAGTTAGGTTAAAGAAGGGCTATCCATAGTCTTAATTCGTCGTCTTTATATAAAATCGGACGATATCATATATATGGGATATATATCTAAATATGAACCGATTCTCACCAAGTTCCCCTTAGACTAAAGACCATTTTCATATTGTCCGTAGGCCCGGCTACATCACTAGTACAGGGTATCATGTATTTGTGCATTTGTTTGTATCAGGCCAAAAGGAAACGATTTAGACACATGGCTCCTTTTGAGGATAAGCATAGAATTACTTTCTGAGTCGATTTATGCATGTCCGATCGTCTGTCTGCGAAATTTGGTGTAGCGTACTAAATTGAGTCTATAGTGATGTGTGCTGAGTTTCGTGGAAATCGGTTGAGATTTGGATATATTCATAAATATTGTGTCAAATCCTCAAGATAAAAAAAATTGGAAGAGCCCAATTATAAGGAGGTTTATACCGAAATCATCACTGAACCCATTTTTTCCTGATAATAATTTTACCAATGTTTGGTTTCCATCCAATTCGACTTGGTCTCTTTTCGATACCTAACCATGTCAATGGAATGGTTATAAAGCATTTAGTCCGTCCCATATAATGGACACACGATGTGATGATAATAAACGGCGACACATATTATGCAATTGACAACAGGTATTTGTGAGGCTAGGCTAGGATAGATGTGTCTGGTTCAAAGCAATCACTTTTTATAACTATTTATGGCAACTTGTTCATCTTCCTGGCAACACGTTTACATGGTAGCCGAATTGCACAATTTCAGTTGTGGTTGTTCGAATGTTTTTTTTTTTACTTTTCTTTCTCTTTGTCACTGGCAGAGGCATGTCATTAGTGTGGCGGATGACGGCCAACATAGAGAAATGTGGTATTAATCCAAAAACCAGTTACTATTCGTTTTTTTTTTTTATTTGTTCGACTTACGTATCTTTCAAGAGCTGCAGCACTTCCTGTTCCTTTTTGTTTAGGCCACTATAGTAGGCAGTCAAATTCATGTCCAGCAAATGACGTGTCTGCATGCCGACCAAAAACGTCGACGGACCATCCAGTTGCAGAAAATGATACATGGCCAGTTTGCCAAGTTCGATATTCGCATCTTTACAAATGCTAGCCGCTTTTTGGCATAATTGTTTTATTTCATCTTGGGCCGGATGCCAGGGTTGGGGACCACGATTCGTTAAAATACCGACACCATGTCCGGCGGCACAAACAATGGCCAGATTTTGTTGTTGAAAGTATTCCAAATAGGATTTAAGACTGTCATCCAGTAAAGTGTTGCGGGCATAGGATAAAACAACCTTTTGGGGAAAATTAATAGTTTTTTAGTTATGTTTTTTAATAATTGTAGTAGACCAGTACTCACATTAAATCTACCATTGGCCCGTTGTATACATTCCTTGAGCACCTTCAAAGGATAACCGGTAACACCAATATATTTGGCCTTGCCTTCTTTGACAATTTTCTCCAATTCCGGTAGGCATTCATTCAATACAATATCCAAGTCCTTGGCGAATTCGATGTCGTGGATCTATTAAACATAAAAACACAGAAATTTTATCTAGAATTAATGCAGACATTTAACTAAATTCTAAGTTATTCAAAAAGCCTTAATTTGGCAATTAATTATTTGTCTTGGTTTTCTCAGCTGCTGTTGATCAGCTGTGTTTATTTATTGCATAGAGAGAGAGATGAAGGAAGAGAACAAACAAATCCATGCTGCCTCTGTACAAACAACAAATAAACACCATTAATATTTTTTAATGGAATATTAATGCTATTGTTCTTATCACTTTAAAATCTACAAAATAAATCCGCCAAGTAACCTCGTACCTGTATAACATCCACATAGTCCAAACCCAGCAACTTGAGACTTTTTTCAAAACTCTCTCGGGTCTTTTTGGCGGAAAAATCAAACATCTTATCATAGGTCTTCTCATAACGTCCCACCTTTGTTGCCAGGTAATACGCTGAACGGGGTACAGTTTTCAGTGCCTTACCCAATATCTCCTCGGAACGTCCCTGGCCATAATAGGGTGCCGTATCAATATAATTGATACCAACTCGAATGGCTTTGTGTATTGTGGCAATTGCTTCCTCCTCGTCCAGTTCGCTGTTGATTAAACAATCCGCATTAATTTAACACTTCACACACACACACACACACCCACTCAAGTACCACTTGTGATTACATACCCAAATAGGGTACTTAAAGTACCACCACCCAATGCAACTTTGGACACCTTCATATCCGTAGCACCAAATTGTCGATATTCCATTTTGCGACAGGCTTCCTCATCATGGAAATCTTTTGTAAAGGTTGGAGGTAAATTTGTGGATGACATTCTTCTTCTTCTTCCTATTTTATTCTATAGAAGAATATTCTTGGTATATTACTTGACAACGTTCCGATCGGTACTGATGGCGAATGCAAAAGGTAGAATTGTTTAAATATTTTTCTTTTCAATTCAAGAGAGAATTTATTGCATTGCAATCTTTTTTATCGGTAATCTCTGTTCGCTCTCTTTTTTGAATTCTAATTCTGTTTGAGTAAATAATTGCATGCAGTGTTATATGCTTAGCAGATAGACCAAATGGGGTTATGTTATGGTAAATTGCCTCCAGAAGAAAATGAAATACCAAACAATTAAAATTTTCGGAATCTTTATATAAAGGGGCTATATTAAAATCGGAACCGATATTGATAACATTTTCGGAATCGTTATATAAGGCGCTATACTAAAATCGGAAACGATATTGATAATTTTTAGTACGAAAATTTAACACCCAACGTGAAACCAAAATATTGAATAAGAGTCCATTCGGTAAAAAAAGTCCAGAATATCGAAAATTTGGGAGAAACCGATATCGAAACGTGGACCTATATCGACAATTTTTTTCGGGAACATATCTCATCCAATCAGAACCCAAAATACCAAATTACAGCCAATTCATTTGAAAAACGTGCCCAAACATTACAAAATACCAAAATTTTGAGAGATATGGGACCTATACCTATAAATACCAAATTACAGACAATTTGTATGCAATCAAATACACAAATTTTGCAGGTAACGTTATAAGGGGTCACTACCAAAATGTGGACCGATTTCGAAAATTTTTTGTAGGAATATTGGCCACCCAATGGGAACTCAAAATACCAAATTACAGCCAATTCGATTGAAAAGCCTGGCCAAAATACCGAAATTTGGGAGGTACCTTTATATTAGGTCTATACCAAAACGTGGACCGATGTCGAAAAAATTTTGTTAGGAAGATTTACTACCCAAAGGGAACTCAAAGTACAAAAATATAGACGATTTGGTTGAAAAACGCGATAAAATTTCCGAAAATATCGATTTTTGAAAGGTAGTGCCATATGGGGGACCGATATTGATAATTTTTTGTGTGGAGGTTTTCTACTCAATGAGAACCCAAAATACCAAATTGCAACCAATTTGTTTGAAAAAAATTCTCAAATTCCCCAAAAAATCGAAATTTTGTAGGCTCCGTTGTATGAGGACTACCATAAAAATGGACCAATATTGATCATTTTTAGTGGGGAGATTTTCTACCCAATGAGAATCCAAAATACCAAATTACAACCAATTTCGGTTGAAAAACTTGCCCTCCAAAACTCTCCAAAACACCGAAATTTGGGAGGAAACCTTATATGAAGGCTAACTGGACCAATCTTGATCATTTTTGCTATGAAGATTTTCTACCCAAAGTGAACCCAAAGTACCAAATTACAACAAATCCGGATGAAAAACGTGCTCAAACTCCTCAAAATATCGATATTTGGGAGGTACTGACATTGCGAGCGAGCTATTGTGATTTCAACATACAGTCGGACAGGGCTAAATCGAAAATATATATTTTTTTCTTAAACAATAATTAATATTCTTTACGAGTCTCCCGTGAATATTTCGAGGTGTTTTAAGCGGAGGGACAAATGTAACATTCCCCTCTCTAAGGTGTAGGGTTTACAAAATCTCCAAACACAAAACCCGTTGGTTTTGAAGGGTTTGTTTTATTTATTTTATGTTTTTGTTGTTGGTGTTTCTTCGTACTATAAAAGCAATATAATTATTTTTATATGTATATCTCAAGTACAATATTGTATCGTGTGTATGTATGTTTCGATATTTATATAGCAAATATTCGAATTTATTTATTTGTTGTGTTATCAGATCAAACGTTTATCGCATTTCGAGAGCTTAATAAATAATATTGTTATTAATATAATTTGTTTTTTATTTTATATATGTATGTATAAATATAAAATTAGAATATTTTATATATGAATGTGTGTATATATTAATTTCAATACAAGTGAAATTCAATTCGAATGCCAATCAATTATTTCCTCGATTCCAAATTCCAATTCACTTTAGAAAAATAAATCACCAAATATATCATCGGCATTGGGGAAATGTTGTTGAGGTCTTGACGGCACCTGATGATGTGTTGTGAAATGGGGTACGTTGTGATGATGTTGATCCTGCTGCTGTTGCTGGCGTCTGGTATTGGGAATTATAACATCATTGATCTCATGTATAATGCCATTGGTGGCAATATTATCACATTTGGTAATGCCAGCATTTTGAATTTTTGGTCGGCGGTCACGGGTGATGCGCAAATGATGACCATTGTACGATTCAATGGAACGTACAAATGGCCAGTTGGTGGGTATGATGCCAGCACAACAGACCACATCGTTGACAATATGGGTCTTGATGAGATTCTCCAATTCACCCTGTTCCTTGTTCAAAGATTCTTCCAATTCTTCGAAGACATCGTTCTTGGGTACCAGTAGAGTAAAATCTTCCTCAGGATTGGCCAAGAGATCTGTCAAATTCGCCATATGTACCAAGTCCAAGAATTTACTATAATTTGGATTCGATTTCAACATTTGCAAGAGATTCTCTTTGGGTGGTGTCAATGGCTTGTCGACTTGATGCAGAACGGAACCACAACTTTCGTCATCGAAGTGAATGAGACGGGCACAATTCACCGTGGCACGATTCATAACATTCGAGAACAGAGCATGGGTGGAATAGAGATTAATGCGAACCTTATCACCGCCAATGGTTGGCAACATTTTCACTTCCAAATCACAGGTCTTCACCATGGGCTGAGTGACATGATAGTTAAGGAATTCAACAAGTTCCGGGTTGCCTTTCAATTGTTCGGGCGATTCTTCCAGCATCTTTGCCCACTTTGTATTCTGTAGAGCTTTGTCGGTGGGTGCAAACACCGTTACATTGTCCATATCATCGAATTTATTATCCAGACCGGCTGCCTCGAGAAGGCGTTTGAAAATCGTAACATTCTTCTCTTGCATCAGTGAGGACATGGGTAGGGCCGATTCGGTGGGCATAATTGTATCGATGACATGCATAACACCATTGCTACCCATAATATCGGCTTCCATAATTTTGGCAATGCCATTGATAATGACAGGTTCTTCCGTTTTGCTATCGTCCGCTGCCTTAGAACGATTAATACGCATGGGTTCACCCAAAAGGTTGTAAGCGGTTGTCTTGGCACCAGCAACGGAAGCCACCGAACAGAAGGTCAAATCGAGAATGTGATTTTTGAGAATGTCTGTAAATAAATGGAAAAACAACAACAGTTAATATTATGTAAATGCAACAATAAATCGGAAATGAAAAATAATCCATACTGAGGTTTTCCCTGGGAAATTTTTTAAATTAAAGACCTCCCGAAGTTGCAAAAAATCATTTTCCAACAAAAGTTTTTTATTTCTATTACCTCGTATTTCACAGATTGAAAAACTGAGAAATTTTTAAATTGTTGCCGGACCTTGTTGGACTTCAAAACAGAACATGATTTTAGATACATTTTGTTCACCGAATTGGCTCTTATTTCATATTTGGGTTACTCATTAGGTTGAAATTTACGTACAGCTCTTATTTTTGGTATTTTGAGGATTTCATATACGTCTTTCAACCTAATTGGCTGTAATTCACTGGGTGACAAATCTTCAAGCCTAAAATAATCAATATCGGACCATGATTACTTATGGCCCCATATATGACCATAACCTCGAATTTTCGATATTTTAAGAATTTCAAGCAAGTTTTTCAGCCGAATTAGCTGTAATTTTGTGATTGAAGTTTTCACTGGGCGAAAAATCTGTCTACCAAAAACAATCAATATCGGTCCACTTTTAGTTATAGCCCCCAGCTAATGCCGATGTGTTTTCAACCGAATTGGCTGTAATTTGGTATTTTGGGTTCTCACTGGGTGGTAAATCTTCCTACCAAAAATAATCAATATCGGCCCACTTTTAGTTATAACCCCACATAACCATAACCCCTACTTTTCGATATTTAAACAATTTCTCACCGAGAATTTCAACGGAATTGGCTGTAGTTTAGTTTGGGTTCTCACTGAGTAGCAAATCTTCCTACCAAAAATTATCAAAATCTATCCACGTTTTGTTATAGCCCCCATATAACCATTCGATCCAATATTCGATATTTTGGCATTTCAGAAGACATTATAAGCCGAATTGACTTTAATTTGGTATTTTGGAATCTGTCTGGGTGGTAAATCTACCTACCAAAAATAATTAATATTAACCCACGGTTACGTATAGCCCCATATAACAGTACCCTAAAAATTCAGAATTCTAGGTTTTATAGCGCGTTTTTTAACCGAATTATCTGTAATTTGGTATTTTGAGTTTTCATTTGGTGATAAATTTTTCTATCAAAAATAATGAATATTTTTCGATATTTTAAGGTTTTTAAGAATTTCAGACCGAGAATTTCAACGGAATTGGCTGCAATTTGGTAATTTGGGTTCTCCTGGAAGAAGCCCTGTCTACCAAAATAATCAATATCGGCCAATTTTAGGTATAGCCCCCCTTTTATAAGTGTCCCTAAATGTTCGGAATTAATAGGATTTCAGACGCATTTCTTCACCAAATTAGCTGTAATTTTGTATTTTAGGTTCTTACTTCTTCAATAAAAAATTATATGAATTTTCGGAAAACCCTGTACTAATGATGTGGTTTTGAAATTTTCAATCATATCTAAAATTATCTCCAACTTACTTGAAGCACAACCCTTGCCCTCCTTCAAAGCTCTACGCAAATGGGGTTCCAATTTATCAAATGCACTATCGGTGGGTACGAAAATCGTAATGGGTTTCTCGCCCTCCAACAGTTCGCTCAATTTTGTGTTCTCCAAAACGGTACGCATTATTGACATATCGCTGCGTTCACGAATCATATCCATGACGTTTTTACTAACCGATGGCATAACACCGGCCAATGTATGGACCATACCCTGTTCGGAGAGTTTATCGCGACGAACAATTGGTACACAATTGGCAGTATAACGATAGGGTTCGCGGCTCAAAGTCAAAGGCATTTGATAGCTGTTAATGCGCACGGTCTGGCCATCGGCGTGGGTCTTCAGGATTTGTTCATTGCTGACATCTTCCAAGTTGATTTCACCATCGACCACATGGCGCAAGAATAACTGTTTTACACCATCATCCGATTTCATTTCAACCACATTCTAGAAGAAACGAACAAAGATGAGATTAATAAAAAGGAAACGTGATTGAGATCACCATCATCGCACTTACATTCTCACTCTGTGCCGCATCGGCATAGGCACTGAATGCCTCATCCAGTGGCAAGAAGACGGTTACATTTTTACTCGAGCTGATCGTATCAGCTAGGCCACTGTTTTTGGCCTTTGCCACAAACTCTTTGGCTCCCATATCGGCTGCCGTTGCCTCAATATCTTTGATATCGATTTTCTCACAGGGTGTTGCATAAGCGGCATTACGTGGCCGGGCATAGCCGTGACAGCATTGGCGTGAAACAGTCAAAGTTTTCTTTTTGCCATTTTTGTTTACACTGCAAAGTTGAACAACAACAACAACGAATTAGACATTTTAATTTCAATTTGGTGTTTTTTGGATCAATATTGGCTCATAGATTGGCTGGTGTTACCAAGAGAGCCCACCAACCATGTCAAGCCATTACTCTTCTTCTTTTTCTGTTTTGGGCTCTGACATACTTACACTCGTGTACAGACATATTTGTTGGGCTTTTCAACGCATGAATTCAAACTGAAATGGAATTGTCCATACGAGGGTTGTTTAACAATTTCGGTGCCTTCGGCTGTTTGGGTCTCCTCAGTTTCATCCGAGGCTTCCATGTCCTTTTCGTCTTCTTCTTTTTCGGTACATACATTGGGTCTGAAATAGACGGAACGAAATAAATTAGAAAGGTGCAGGAATTAATTAAGAAAGAAAAATAAAGTTAGAGGGGATTTGTTGAAATCCCTCCTTGTTCGATTCGAAAATCTAAGGATGAAGGACTCTTATATAAGAAGTTGAGTGGACACATATATATATAAGAAGTGGAAAGTAATCTGTCACTTTTTCGTATTTAGTCTTTATTTATTTCACATATAATTTTTTATCACGTATTGTAAAGTTTTTTCATTAGTATAACAGTTTACACAAACTGTTATACCAGGGAAAAATCTATATAACTTCATACAAACGAATTTTATTGAATTTTATATTAATTTTGTGTTTATTTTTCAATTTTTTGTGTATAACAGTTTGAGTAAACTGTTATACTATTAAATTTTATAAAATTCATAATAAAAATCAATTTCGAAAAAAAATTAAAAAATTATCACAACTTAAAATTTTGTATGAAACTTTTACTAATGAAAAATGACTAAAATATTCTATATTTTGGGTGCTTGAACACGTTTGTCATGCGAATTTGTTGTAAATTTGTATTTTGGATTATCATTTGGTGGGAATTATCCCTACTAAAAATTATGACTGTGGATGCACTTTTAAGGCCAGCCACCATGTAACGATACGGACTAAATTTCGAAAATTTGGGGAGCTTGGAGACGTTTTTCAACCAAATTGGTTGTAATTTGGTATTATGAGTTCTTAGTGGATAGAAAATCTCCCTACCAAAAATTATGAATATTGGTGCACTATTAAGGGTAGCCCCCATGTAACGGCACTGTCAAAATTACAAAGATTTGGGGAGCTTGAACATGTTTGCCAACCAAATTTGTTGTAATTTGGAATCTTGAGATCATATTGGGTAGAAAATCTCCCTAACAAAAATTATGAATGTTGGTCCACTTTTAAGGTAACGGCACTGTCAAAATTTCGAAAATTTGGGGAGCTTGGAGAAGTTTTCCAACCAAATTGGTTATAATTTGGTATCTAGAGTTATTATTGGGTAAAAAATCTCCCTGCAAAAAATTATGACTGTGGGCCCAGTTCATATTGGGTAGAAAATCCCCCTACCCAAAATTGTGAATGTTGGTCCACTTTTAAGGGTAGCCACCATGTAACGGCACTGTCAAAATTTCGAAAATTTGAGAACTTGGAGACGTTTTCCAACCAAATTGGTTGAAATTTGGTATCTTGAGTTCTTATTGGGTAGAAAATCTCCCTGCCAAAAATTAAAAATATTTGTTCACTATTAAAGGTAGCCGCCAAGTACCAGTACCGATTAATTTCGAAATTTTGGGGGCTTTGGCAATTTTTTTCCAACGGAATTGCCTATAATTTTGTATTTTGGGCTCCCATTTGATAGGAAATATTCCTACCAAAAATCTTAGTAAAGTTCATTGAACTATCAGATTTTATTGCAACAACAACAAAAATCAAAATCAAAGACATTGTAATATTAGTAGCTGATAATAATTTTTGTCTACAATAATCTAATATGTACATACATGTATATATAAATAAATATATATACACATATATGTATGTAGGCATATCAAGTAAAATATTCATAGCCAGATGTGTTTGACAGATGCTATTCCAATGAAATTAAAAGAAAGATAGGAAAGAAAGAAAAAAGCTTCCAGAACAAACGGAATGGCTACAACAGAACAGCGACAGCTATGCAGGCAGGCAATTATGACAAATTGTTTGCTCTAAACAGACAAACAGACGGGCAACCAGGCAGGCATTCAGATCGTCAAACTAGCTTTGAAAGAGTAAACTATCTAAGATCAGGGTTTGCGGTCAGTGGCTTAGCTAGCAATACATACTGATGATAATTGTTTATATATACATACTGGCACCATAAATATGTACATAAATATATACATATATGTGTTTGTAAAAACATACAGTAATTCCATTTAGTTGTTTGTTTGTACTATAAGATTGCCATATAAAACCTACTTTGCCGGACCGGTGGTACCACCATCCGCGGATAATTTTTATTTCTCTTTCTTCAAACACACTCACACAACTATTGTAAATAATTTCTGCCATCCATAGAAATGATGGTGTCATTTTATTTAGTTGAGGGGGCAGCAGCAGAATGGAATCTTTTGCTATATTCACTCACTCACATTGAATTTAATTGAATTGGAGGGGAGCTATTCAATTTAATACAGAAAAATTGCCGCTTTTTCAACATTTTTTTTTCAAAATTTAATAAATTTGTTGGACACACACTATGTGGGAGCATAATTTATTTATTTACTTGTTTGAATGGGGTTTTACATTTTCTGAAAAAAAGAGCAGAACTGAGGAAGACTAGAATATTCTGGGAAAAATCCCACCATAATATGAAGACAAAAGGAAGATTTGAATTGTAATGAAAACCAAAAAATAGAGTCAATTTGGTTAAGAGAAATGCCTAAAATACCGTTAATTTTTTGGGGTACCGTTATATGAGGGCCATCCTGAAAAGTGGACCGATATCGATAATTTTTGGTAGACAGATTTACTACCCAAAGAGAACACCAAGTACCAAATTATAGACAATTTGGTGATCGAACTTCCGAAAATATCGATATTTGAGGGTACTGCTATATGGGGACTACCCTAAAAAGTGGACCAATATTGATAATTTTTGCTGTGGATGTTTTCTACTCAATGGGAACTCAAAATATCAAATTACAGCCTATTCGGTTGGAAAACGTGATCAAACTTCCTAAAGTATCGAAAAATTCAGGAGGTACCGATATATGGACACTACCCCAAAAAAGTGGACCAATATAGATAGTTTTTGGTGTGCAGGATTTCTACTCAATAAAAATCCAAAATATGGAATTATAATTCGAATCGTTTGAAAAACATGCTCAAACTCCCTAAATAACCGAAATTTTGATGTTCCGTTATATGTGGACAACCATAAAAAATGGACCAATATTCATAATTTTTGTTGGGGAGATTTTCTACTCAATGAGTATCCAAAATACCAAATAACAATCAATTCGTTTTAAAAATGTGATCAAACTCCCTAAAATATCGAAATTTTCAAGGTTATATAGAGACTACGATAAAAATTTTACCAATATTGATAATTTTTAGTGGGGAGATTTCCTACATAATGGGAAGTCAAAACACCAAATTACAGCCTATTTGGTTGAAAAACTTGCTCAAAATCATCAAAATATCGATATTTGGGAGGTACCGTTATATGGAAGCTACCCTAAAAAGTCACCCAATTTTGGTACCCAATGAGTAGCCAAAATATCAAATTACAGACAATTTGGTTGAAAAACTCGCCATTCATCATTCTAGACTCAATTCAGTACGCTATGCCAAATTTCGTGCAAATCGAAGGATATATCCGATTTTCAAGAAAATTAACACACATCGTTCTAGACTTGATTCAATACGCTATGCTAAATATCGTGCAAATCGAAGGAGATATAGGACCTTTGATGCACCATTTACCTTAAATCGGACAAAAATATATATGGGAGCTATATAAAAATCTGATCCTATTTTCACGAAACTTAACGCACATCACTCTAGAATCAATTCAGTACGCTATGCCAAATTTCGTGCAAATCGAAGGATATTTAGGGACTTTGGTGAACTATTTACCTAAAATCGGACCAAAATATATATGTATATATATATATAAGTACGCTATGCCAAATATCGTGAAGATCGAACCATTTACCTAAATTCGAACGAATATATATATATATATATATGAACCGATTTTTTTCCAATTTCACCACAATTTTCAGTGTGGTAAAGGGTATAAAAAATATGCGGAATACCCTTCAAAATATATTCTTAAAAAAAGACAATCCTCTTAAAAAAAAATCAAAATTTTTTCCTAACAAAAATCCACTACTACTACGTTAACTTACCCCTTCCACCAGGGTTCCTCTTGGGTGCCAATGCCAAATCCGCCAAAACTATTGAAGAAATTATTACCCAAGAAGGGGAAGGATTGATGGAAGAATAAGCCAGGCTGAGCTTGACCATTGCCGCCATTGACATCACTGGTGATGACATCGACATCTGGAATAAAAATGTTAGAAGTTACGTGCCGAAGTTCCCGGAACAAATTTCATTCTCTTGAGAAAAAAAAGTAAATCAAAACTTACCAAATGGTTTCTCTTCGCTGCCATTGGATGTTGTGGTCGTTGTTGTTGTCGTCGTCGATGTCCTGCCATGTGGATTGTGAGGATTCTCCTGAGCTTCTAGTGGCACAAATTCCGCCTCGGGTTCATAGCTATTGAATGGCGTATTAATTGGTAATAAAGTATTAAACAATTGTGGCCAAATATAGCTTTGTCTTGAGGTGGTGGTGGTTGAAGCTTGTGATTGATATGGTAGTTGTTGTTGCTGATGATGTGTTGGTGTTGTATAAAATGTTGTTGTTAGGGGTGGTGTTATGGGTTCAAGTATGTGAAAACTTGGCGTTTGGATGTGAGACATTAAACTATAAATGGAACAAAAAACAAAGACGCACAACAGGCAACAAATATTGTGTTTTAGCATGCAAAAACAAAAACAAACATAACAAAACAAAGCAAAAACAACAATTTCAAACAAATTATAAACAAACAAAAAGACACACCAATGTCATGCTCTTTAAAGATCTCTGCTCGGTTACATTATCAAAAATATGCAAATGAGCCGAGATCCCAAACAAAAGAAAATACCGAATTACTCCCGCAGCACCAACACCAAAATTAGCACCCAACTCCAAGAAAAAAAAAATAATTCAAACTTTCCGCCGTCTGCCTTTTTTGGCACAATTTAAAATGACGGAATTCTAAAGTCGTTTCACAGTTCATGAGAATTATTTAAAAAAATAAAAATAAAAAAATAAAGCGAACAATTATTATGGCTAAAATATTTGCCATATTAGTCTTATAAATATATTAGCCCGCCCCCGCGCTCTTTGAATACAAATGCGAGTAATTTGGTTGCCTAACATCAAGGGAGATCCACATGTGTTCTGGTGTTGTGGCTGATGGAACGGTCTATTACGGAAGAAGAATAATAAACAAACCAACCGAACCGAATAGCTCAAAAATTTCAACTTGGCTGGTAGCTATTAATTTTCCTCGCAACTCGAAAAAAAAATCTTTCAAAACAGATAACAAGAAATCAGTGTCAAAATCACAATCCCCTCTCGGTAAATAATTGAATAAAAATGAAATTGAATATTCTCTTCCATTCGAATCGCAATTAGAATGCCGAAAATGTTTGGCGATCATTTGTCATAAATTAGGTCCAACGTGCCTCAACATTTTTCAAAGTTAATGAGAACGAAGTAGAAGGACCACACATCATTTTATTAAAAAACCAGTAAGGAAAATGGTAAAGTCGGATGGAGCCGACTATATGATAACCTTCACCACTTTGGGTATATTCAACAGATGAATTCTAACAGACGTCGCATTTTTAAAGGACCAGTAAAATGAAATTGGATTCATAAACATGTCATTCTGCAACCGATACTAAATTTTTCATTTGGTCAGATATAGAAGCTGTATCTAAATCTGAACCGTTTTTCACGAAATTTAACACACATCATTCTAGACTTTTTGCGGTTAATAATTCATTTTATTTATTAAATTCAAAAATAAATAAATATAATAAATAACAGTGCCAAAACAGGATTCATGCTATGTGCAAAAAAACGCAGTAAACATTCTCCAAAAAAAAAAAATAATTAAAAAAAGAAGAATCACATCATGTGTCAAAACAATGGGTTTGATTCACCTACATTAACATGAACGTGCTTGAAATATCAGATTAACTGCATTATTATTAAAAAAAATCAAGTTCCAAAATTTCACCGTCAAACCCAAAACCAACAAAATGTCATTCGTCGACTAAAAAGCCGCATTCGACAGCCCTATCCGTTCAGATGTGTTTAAAGCCATGTCTAAAGCCAGTGGCACAAGATCAGCAGTAAAGTTGGAAGGGAGCTATCGGAGCACTTCAATACCGAACGAGGATTAAGACAAGGTGACAGTTTGTCGTGTGATCATTTTTTAACAACCTGTTGGAAAAAGTCATGACGAGAGGCAAAAGTTAACAGAAATGGCACTCTGTACACCAAAAAAAAAAACATGTTAATCGATATAATGGGTCGAACATTGCGAGCGGTAAAAGCCACCTTTGAACAAATTGAGAAGGAGTCTGTCAAAGTGGGTCCGGCAATAAACGACGAGAAGGCCAAGCTGATGGTATCAACGCGCAAGACGTCCAGTAGAATCGGACCAACTATGAAACTTGATAACTACAACTTCGAGGTAGTCAAAGATTTTATATATCTTGGAACCGCCATAAATAAAACGAATGACATCAGTTTTGAAATTCGGAGAAGGATAGTGTTGGCCAACAGATGCTACTATGGTCTGAGTAAGCAGTTTAGAAACAAGGCCACCTCCCGCCAGACCAAACTCACACTTTACAAGACGCTGATACTACCCGTGCTATTATATCTGATACTACCCGTGCTATTATATCTGAAGCATGGGTACTTGCGCAAGCAGATGAGGCAGCTCTTGGGGTGTTTGAAAGAAAAATTCCCCAAAAGATCTACGGGCCGATCTTCGTCGACGGTGAATATCGGCGTCGAATGAACCACGAGCTTTACAATTTATACGCGGACATCGACATATATTTCTATACAAACTACTTGCATTTAATTTTGAAGACTTAAAAAAACCAAATAATTACCCCCCTCGTATTCTATGAGTCACCCGAGGTGTTTATATGATGATTGTTGTTGATTTTTATATTTATTACATGTTACGTTTTTTTATTATTATTTCTTTCTTTTTTTTCTTTGTATTATTATTTTCATTCATTTTCAATTCCGTTGAATTTATTTTTTTAACTGTGTTGTTTTTTGATAATCAAACGTCGCGCAACCGCACACTTTTACATATTAATGGCTTTTTTACAATAACGTTGTCGATTTTTTTTTTTTCATTCTAGAAAATTGGCATTGTTTTTTGTTTGTTTTGAATGCACAAATTCAAAACAAAATTAAAGGAAATACGAGCAATTAATAATTAAAATTGAAAAATGACGTGGCCTTTTGGGATGATTTTAGATATTTGGATATAAAGCAGAAGTTTTATAGTCTCCACCATGAAGTGGGCATCCCAGACATACTAAAATCGCTGAAGAATTTTATAAGTGTGCTATGACATCTTAAATTGCTCCCGAAAGCTTAAACGTCTATCGTTTGCTCAGATTTTAACTATTGGAGAAAATTCAATATAGGCGAACGAATTGATAGCGAAGAGTTCTGACTACTTTGAATAGTCAGTCTTAAGAGGAGGACTAACATTTCCATTTGGATAGAAGGTATGAGGTGAAAGAATCGCCAGGATTATGTTCACTATGAAAATATTCCAACTGAACAATTTGTGATAGGGCAGGCAAGATGGAAAAATCTGCACCGATTTTCACGAAACTTGACAGACACCACTCTAGACTCAATTCAGTACATTATGCCAAATTTCGTCTAAATCGAAAGATATATAGGGACTTTGGTGCACCATTCGGACGAAAATATATATGGGAGCTATATCTAAATCTGAACCGATTTTTCCAATTTCAATAGGGCCAAATAAATGAGCTGTGCTAAATTTCATATAATTCGGATTATAAATACGACCTGCACTTTGTTTAAAATTTAACACCAACAGACGGACGAACGGACATGCATAAATAAACTCAGAATGTGATTCTATGCATATTCTCAAAAGGAACTATGGGTACATCTCGTTTCCTTTTGCCTGCGCCTTGATACCATCAGCTTGGTCTTTTCGCCATTTACTGCCAGTTCCACTTTGGCAGACTCCTCAATTTGTTCAAAGGTGGCTGTTACCACTTTCAATGTCAGACCCATTATGACGATGTTATCGGCGTAAGCGAGTAACATGTGTTGTTTGGTGTACAGAGCGCCATTTCTGTTCACCTTTGCCTCTCGTATGACCTTTTCCAGCAGGATGTTAAAAAGGTCACACGACAAACAGTTACCATTTCTGAATTCTCGTTCGATATTGAAGGGCTGCGACAGGTCCTTTCCGACTTTAACTGCTGACATTATACTAGTTAAAGTTATCCTGCATAGCCATATTAATTTTGCAGGAATGTGAAATGCAGACATGGCTTTAGACACCTCTGAACGGATAGAGCTGTCGAATGTGGCTTTATAGTCGACGAATAGGTAGAACGTGACACTGATAAAATAATATCATTGCCATTGGCTTCAGTCGTTCACACAGCGCGCTGGATAGCACTTTATATGCGATGGGAAGGAGACTTATTCCTCTATAGTTATTGTAAAATATTTATCCTTAGGTTCCAAATAAACTACTCTTGCTTAGCCTAATCTCAAACACAATATGTATCAGTAAACTATTTGTTCTAATAATATAATTTGATCTGTGGAGAGTTTCGCCATAGTGTGGGTCATAAAATCTCAACACCAACAACCACAGTCTTATCAGCGTTGCATGTGGGATTTTAGACTCATCTCTTAACCACTCCAACAATCAAATCTTCTGTAATATAAAATTAGGTTCAAAGTATTTTGAACACTATCTTTAACGATCTACTGGCTGAATACGCGAAATCGTTATCCATGAACAGCAGCCTACGAGACATTTTCAAAATTCATAGATAGAGGATATGGCCAGTATTTCATTATTTCCAAGTTCGTACACTCATTATGGATGCTAAATACCGTGAAGACTGTAATGTTGGTAAGATAACTCCCATGTCTTTGAAAACCTAAAAATTTTCATTTTCAATTTCTTTTTTTTTTTTATTTTTTGGCATAGGTAAATATTAATTTTTCGCAACTATATAATAATAATATGGGCGTACAAACATATGTATATAGATTTGCTACAATGACAGCGACACCACCTTCATCTGCCAACATCAACATCGGGGACGACAATGAACTACAACTTTCTTTTTCTTGGAAACAATATTGACACCTCAAATTTGTTGTTGGTGGATGGATGGATATCTAACTTCGAACGTAAACTTTTAGTGGGCAAATGAAATTTGTTTATTCCCATTTATTTACATATTCGTCAAGTGAAATTACCACAAGACATTGAATGGGTCCGGCGATTGGTACGCAAAAAAAGAGAGATTTGTTCATTTCAGATACTTTTTTGTTTGCCCTTCTTTTCTAAAATGACACACTTGGAGTAAAAGAAACACATGTTTGTGTTGATGTCAGCTGATTGGTGACCTTAATTAGTGATTAAACCCAAGCTTTATGGCATATAAGAAGGAAGCTCTTTCATGGAAGAAACAAAATAAAAACCTTTTATAAATCTTGAAGAAAAAAAAACCCTGAGATGTTGCAATTTTTTCATAAGACATTCTTTACAGAATAACCGTTTTTTGCTGCTGCAATAACAACTAAAAAAAACATTGAGCTGTTGGTTGTTGTTTCAATGCTAGGCATTAAAGACAAATCGTGCAAATCTTGGCAAAGTTTAAAACAAACAAAAAAAAACCCCGTCTGCAGAAAAAAAGAAGAATGCTGAAGTCGAAGTTTTTTTTTGCTGTAACCTACCCACCTCTTTGGAATTTGTTATTATTGCCGTTTTTGTTTTATTTTTATTGTTTCTGTTGAATGTTTCATCTTCACGGCACAATGAGTTTAACTGACGTTGCACAAATGAAAAAAAATAACAACATAAAGGCCGAACATTCAGCCAAACAACAGTCATCCATCCAGTCAACCAGCCAGACCCAGACCCAACACAGCTCAGCTTTTGCTTAACTTGAAAGAAAATTCAGTTACCAGCAGCACTTCTAAGTAGGTTATCGCAATAGTGGCTTGTAACCAAAAAAAATTGAAGAAGAAGAAGGAAACGAAAAATCAGCAATGGATGATCGTGACAAGAGATTGAATCAATTTCACAAATACATACATATATGTATGTGTTATAGGTCCCAAAAATACCTGGTGGACCTATTGGAAATAGGTTAAGTTGAAAAGAAATGTCATCATTTAGAGTCATTGATGGACAATGTTAACGGAAATACATTTGTAGGCTTAGGAGGACTAGCATTTAGACCTCACAGAACTATCCGATGAGATTCCAACAGAGTGGCCTATAACATAACATGGAAGGCGAAAGAAGTGGGAGTAAAGATCTGCATTTACCGGTTTAAGAGAACAAAAATATTGTCCGCATTCGAACAGAGCCATTTGTGATAGGACGTTTTATTGATTTCGATTGATTTTTCTCGTTTCGTTGCCTAGGGTGAAGTCAAAATCAATAGAAGTTAATGGAATTCCCATTACTTTTATTATTAGAAGCGTTATTCCATACATCTCTGATGTCATTTTGGACGTGGTTAACACTACGTCAACTTTTCCCCTATGTTGGAAAACTGCTCGAGTGGTAACAGTACCAAAATGCCGTTCGCTTACTGGACCTGGTGATCTAAGAACCATATCAATTTTACCAGAACTGTCGAGGAAGTGTAGAGATGAAGAAGGAAACCTGTTGACAGATACAGACAGCATATTGAGGCTCTGGAAGGAGCATTTTTGAAAAGCTTCGGGTATCAAATAGTTGGCGGTAAAGAAGATAATCCAGAACCAATAAGAGATGACCGTATGGATTGTATACCACCTAGCCAAGATGAGGTCAGAATAGTAATCAAGGATTTAGACAAGGTGACAATTTGTCGCGTGACCTGTTCAACATCCTGCTGGAAAAAGTCATACTAGATGCAAATGTGAACACCAAAGTGTATATGTTATTCGTCGACTTCGATATAATGGGTCTAACATTCAGAGCGTTAACAGCCACCTTTGAACAAATTGAGGAGTCTGTCAAAATGGGTCTGGCAGTAAGCGGCGAGAAGACCAAGCTGATGGTATCAACGTGCAAGACGTCCAGTAGACTCGGACCAACTTCGAGGTAAAGGTTTTATATACCTTGGTACAGTCATAAATACAACGAATGACATCATTTTTGAAATTCGGAGAAGGATTGTGATGGCCAACAGATGCTACTATGGTCTAAGTAAGCAGTTTAGAAACAAGGCCACCTCCAACCAGACCAAACTCACTCTTTACAAGTCGTTGATACTATCCGTGCTGTTATATGGATCGGAAGCATGGGTACTTGGGCAAGCAGATGATGCAGCTCTTGGAGTGTTTGAGTTTAAAATTCTCCGAAAGATCTATGGGCCGATCTGCGTTGACGGTGAATATAGCCCTTGAATGAACTACGAGCTTTACAATCTATTCTCGGACATCAACATTGTTAGACGTATTGAGCTGCAGTGACTACGTTGGCTAAGTCATGTTGTGAGAATGGATGAAGATGCCTCCGCCCAAAAGGCATATAAAAGCGAGCCGAGTGATGGTTCAACGCAGAAGGGGAAGCCCACGAAAAAGATGGAAAGATGAAGTGTAAGACAACATTGCCGAAAATGGTCTTTCAAATTGGAAAAACTGCGCAAAAGACCGACGCGCCTGGAAATCTTTTTTAAGCTCGGCTTATGGAACGAGAGTTCTGTCACATGCCAGCTATGTAAGCAAGTTTCCTAGTGAAGAGCACAAATTCTGTCTTAGTAAGGTTTTCACCAAGAGTGTGCCCAGTTGGACAGAGTTGAAACCATTCGACTTAAAAAAAAGAACAAAATTTGAGCTATGGAAACATGCTACCTTGAGGCTCGGCTGAAGTTTGGAAATCTTGTGTTTATCAAAATATTACACCAAGTGACATTTCCAGTATTTTTCCATGCAATTTTTTTTTCTGTAACCAATTTGAAATTATGATCGCTCCACTTTTTTTTAAATATTTCATCATTAACGGGTTAAAGCCACCACAATTTGTAAGCCGTTAATAAAATAATTGCTACAAATCTAGTTACTCGGGTTTACTTTGGACTATAAACCATAACAAAAAATGTAGTATTTTTTTAATTAGCAATGCAATAACAGCAACAACAAAAACAATTGGGAATTTTCCGAAACTTAACCCATATGCCAAAATTTCTTTTTTAGTTTTATTTCTATATATAAATAAATTGTGCTAAATTTTTGTATTTGGTGTGATGATGATGAGTGCTTGCTTGGTTTTTGGTATTGTTTGCAAAAAAAAAATCAAAAGCAGACATGTTTCATTTTGTTTGGTTACAATGACATATAATTGAATAATTATGCATTACAAGCTCTTTTTTTAAATGGCATTTGTTAGCAAAAACAATAATGGCAAACTGAAACTTACCTTCCAAAATATTGGCCATTAACATTGCTGGAAATCAGCAGCAATGCCGACAAAGCAAAACTTAAAGTAAAGCGTTTCATTTTAACGTTTAAACGACAACTTTCAAATTAACCGAAAGTTCTGGTACTTCTTCCGTTACGATGTACAAATAAATAAAAATGAGTGTCTGCTGCAGGTAAAAAAATAGAGAGAGAAAAAAAATTTGACATTAATTTCTTTGTTTTGATTTTTCACAACTAATTTATTTATTTTGTTTAATCCTGTTCGTCAACTCACTTTCTGGTATTTCAAAATAATTAAAAAAATAAATGAAATCTCTTGATCACTTTTGCACTTTGTTCAGTTCAAAATCACACTTTATTTTCTTGTTACAAGAAAATCAATTTTTTCTATCTTTTAATTTTCTTCTGTCAGAGATCTCAATTTGCCTCCGAACAACGCGCGAGGGAGAAGAGAGCGTTTTAGTTGCTTTTGTTTTTGTTGCGGTTTGTTTTTCACAGCACAGTTAAAATATTACTGAAGCAAGAACCTGAATTGAGCCGGTATTTATAATGTGTGATGAGACAGGCGGCTTAGCCCCTCATACACAAACGAACACACAAACACACACCAATATTGTGTTGAGAGATTCACACAAACATATCTGTCTCATATCTCACAACTACACTCTTTGACTTTTAATGTTTTTGTTTATGTTTTTCTTGTGGAGTCCCCCATCCTCATACACAAATGACGTTTTGTTAACACTCTGTCAGCCCAAAAGAGTCATATTGTGGTGCGATAATACACACAGAGAAATATATTGGTTGTTAGGTAGTCAAAGAGAGAGGGCAACAGGTAGTTTGGTGATTTTTAGTTTTTTTTTTGGAATTTAGAGATTAGGAAAAATGGAAGATCGCGTTGTATGGTACAATGGTTGCTTTTTTGGGTAAAGACATTTTTCCTGGATTAAAAAAATGCGAATAAAACAATGGCGTAATCTGTAGGACACGTCACTCAATCAGCATTTAAGTGAGTGAGTTTGTTCGTGCGTATGTGTGTGTGTGATATTTTGATAGCTATAATTGCGGCTAATTCTATTTCTGATTAAAAAACAACAATTATCAGTGTGGTCCAATATTTAAAACAATTAATTGCTTAAAAGATTAGAAAACTGAGAAGTATGGATGACCTATTAGTAACAAATCTTTTAGGGATGAATAGCTAATAGACCATACTTACTTAGCTGGCTTGTGACAGAAGAGTTGTTTAATAAGTCGAACGTCGGTCTTTTGCACATCTCATCCTATTTGAAAGACTATATACCGAGATGTTGTCTTCTATTTGATCTTTCCATCGAATTCGTAGCCTTCCCCACCTTCATTTGGCTCGCTTTTATATGCCTTTGGAGCTTGTGGGGAATCCTAATCCATTCTCATAGCATGACCTAGCCAACGTAGACGATGCAGCTCGATCTTTCTGGCCATATCAGATGTCCGAGAATAGGTGGTACAACTCATAGTTCATTCGACGACGATATTCATCGTCGACACAGATCGGGCCATAGATCTTCCGGAGAATTTTTCTCCCAAATTTTTCTTCAATAGCTGCCTCGTCTGCTTGCCCAAGTATCCATGTTTCATATCCACACAACACCACGGGCAATATCAGCGTCTTGTAGAGTGTGAGTTTGGTTTGGCGAGAGATGGCCTTGATTTTGAGTTACTTACTCAGACCATAGTAGCATCTGTTGGCCAACAGTATTCTCCTGCGAATTTCAAAGCTGATGTTATTAGTTTTGTTTATGGCGGTACCGAGGTATATAAAATCGTTTACTATCTCAAATCTGTAGTTTTCAAGTTCCAAACTTGGTCCGATTCTACTGGACGTTTTGCATCAGCTTAGTCTTTTCGCCATTTACTGTCAGTTCACTTTGGCAGACTCCTTCTCAATTTGTACAAAGGTAGCTGTTACCGCTCGCAAAGTTCGACCCATTATGTCGATATTGTCGGCGAGTGACATATACAGCCTTATTCTGGATATTCGCTGGGAGATATCTCGCATATAAAAAATTTTTCGCTTTCACATTCTCGCCTTATTCTGAATGAGTAGGGAGACGCAAAAAATGCGAGATGCTGATTCGAGTTTTCGAAAATGGTGGTTGAAAAATAGATTTGTGTTGCCATATTGTAATTTAAGTTGTAATGTGTGTGGCCATATTGTAATTTAAGTTGCAATGTGTGTTGCCCCATTGTAATTTAATTGTGTAGGGGAGAGGGGGGCACCTTTGAACGTGGGGCACCTTTGAACAGCGCTCATAAAATCTTGGTTTAATATTTTTCCGACCCGCAACCACATTTTTGTATATGGCAATCTTGTTCTCTATATGCGTAAACCACTTTGGTTTGCTTTTTCAGTTGTCGAAAAATTGTGCATGGGTGACCATGTTTTCTCAGTGTCATTGTAAACTTTTATTCATTTGGTTGTAAGGGCGCAGGAAGAATTCTGTGATAGTTTTCTTTCGTCAAACAAATTTTTTGCATTCCAACAATCATTTCAAACATAACTAATGTAATTTCTGTCATATATATTTATTACAAAAAAAATTATTTTAAATTTCCGTAAAATGCCATGGGTGGGGCACCTTTGAACATGCCCTTTAAATTCGAGTAAAAAGCGGAGTTTTTAACTTTTGGCTTCGATTTCTCAAAATTTCAAATGGGCTAATAAGATTACGAAATTAACTGTATTTTTCACCATATTAATTTTAGTTTTTAAGTCATTTTATGTTTTAATAACTTTTGATCTAATTTTTTTAAATTTTGAACATTTTTTATATATTTTTTAATGAATTAATGCATTTCTGATATGTATTAATAAAATACATACATATTTAAACATAAACACTGTAAAAAACCATGTCGTTCACAAATATCAACCCCTGTTCAAAGCTGCCCCCCTGGGGGGGCAGTTTTGAACACTTTGAGTTCGTTCATTAAAACAGTAATAAAATATATTTATCAAGCTTATAGTGTGTCATATGTATATTCATTTTGAAGGTTACATATGTACCTATTAGTTAAAATTTATATGAAACCAAAAATTATAAAATAAAAAATTTTATAAGGCTTGAAAGCAAAAAGTGTTCAAAGGTGCCCCCCTCTCCCCTAATATTTTTCAATATTTCATTTTCTTGATTTTTTTATTAAAAATGTTTACTTTTTATTGTTATTTAAACTATATAACAATAAAAATGTGAAATATCAATAATCTGCTGTATAAATGCTTTGTAATTAAAAGATAATAAATTAAAGTTTAAAAATATGGCAACCTACAATATGGCATGTGAAACAGCTGTTCATTGTTTTGATGCAATTTGATGCAACAACTACAACTGAGAATACAACAACGAATAATGGAAAGAAATCTGCGATTGAATTAATTAATTCAGTTTATTATTTCACTACCTAATTGTGTGCCTTTTTATTTAATTTCGATATTTATTTCCCCAGATTCTTAAAATGGCCTGTTATTTTATGATTTGCTCCTACTCCTTTATTTCTTCCATCAAATCATGCACACGATAATTTAAAAAAAAAAATTTTTTTTGTTCTTTCATAATTTTTATTTAAGTTTTTCACTGTTAAGCGGCTAATCAGGCAAATTTGGGTTTTCCATAATTTTTAAAATTTTTTCTTGAGAGACAGATCCTCACCCAAAATGTCTGTATTTCGCCTCTAAAAATCAAACTCGACTAAATATTCCTTATTACCTTTATACATTTCTTGGCAATACTTGCTTCAGCATGCATCGTTATCAATAGGATTTCCAATGGCATTTTATTGGTTGTTTTCCAGTTAAAAATTTGCTTACTATCATTTATAATATTCTAAATCGTCATAGAATAAGTATTGTGTAAATATTTTTCATAAAAATAGTTATTACTTATGTTTTTGTAGTCAACTCCCCTTAAATTTATTAGCGAAAATTTTCGCACAAAATTTCCTACTCCCTGTAATTCAGAATACCTAATTTTTCCCCAAAGCGGATTTTTTCGCTTTCGAACTTCATTCAGAATAAGGCGAAAGCGAGAATGCGAAAAAATTCACTGGAAAATGTTGTTCAGAATAAGGCGAAGGGAAAGAGCGAGTAAATTCACATGGAATTGACATCCAGAATAAGGCTGATACTGTTTCTGTTCATTTTTGCATCTCGTATGACCTTTTCCAGCAAGATGTTAAACAGGTCACCCGACAAACAATCACCATGTCTGAATCCTCGTTCGATATTGAAGGGCTACGAGAGGTCCTTTCAGGCTTTAACTACTTATTTTGTGTCAGTTAAATTTATCCTGCATAGCCGCATTAAGTTTGCAGGAATGCCAAACGTAAACACCTCTAAACGGATAGGGCTGTCGAATGTGGCTTTATAGTCAACGAAAAGGTGGAATGTGTCGATGTGCCAGTTCATCCCATCGGTCCACTCCTTCTAGTACTTCCCACACAAAATTTAGGTGAACATGATTTGAAACAAACTTTGTACAACCTATTTTTTACCATTGTTGGAAGATGGGACCCATCGGTGCACTTCTTCTGGTTCCTCCCCCCACAAAATGTTAAAATTTTGAAATTTTCTTAATTCGATATCAAACGAATGAAATGTCCGATTTGATCCAAACTTTGCAAATTGTAATACTTTTACCAAACCCCCTGCCAGCAGAGTGTTAAAAATGTTTTTTTTTTTTAAATCAATCACATTTGATTTTGAGATATGCAATGAAGACATTACGGCGTCTATGATCTCACTCGCTGAGGCATCATGTTAACAATTGAAATAACAATTCAATTAGTTTTGTTTTTTTTACTATGAAAAAACAACAACATTTCAAATAATGCAAAAAAATTAGTTCTACATTTTGAATAGATTGAGGGATTTATTGTTTTTTTTTTTTTATTGCAACAATTTTAAGTTCAGCAACAAGATAATCGGCAAATGCATGCATGGCTATACAAAAGCCATACCATGAGAGAAAAGAGTTCAGGCCCATGGCCAGAGAAAGAGTAGTGAAAGTATGTTGCACATACATGAATTACATATATATATATGTGTGTGTATAGTATATATACAGTTATAGTATATAATATCTCTTTGTGGCATCTCTCTAACTCTTTCTCTTTATTCGACGATCATTCTCGACCAAAGTGAACCACAATGGGATGGATGAACGAATGTACTTCAAAATCATTTATGGCCAGCAGCAGAGTCGTCACCTTAATTGGATTACGTGTATTTTGTTTTTTGCATACGCATCAAAGTCAAAAAAAAAAAAATACACACAATAATAAATTAGCAGCCCATTTGTTGGGTATAAGTAAGTAGATGTAAATTTTTGTAGATCTATCAAGAACATTCAAGCTGTTTTTTTCGCCAATTATTTGCAGACTTTTGTTGAGTAGTTTTTTTTCTCGTTTTAATTGTCTAAAAGAGAAATAAATAAAAAAGTAAAAAGTCTTTTTGTTTGTGATTTATTTTCTGGGAAATTCCAATTAAAAAAATAAACAAAACAAATGTTTTTTTGCACAATTAAATTTCTTACTACCGTTAACTCATAACCTGGACCATGACAATTATTATGGCCGGCGATAAGACTAGGCCTGCCATCATATTTTAAATGACAAACACTTGTTCTGGTGAAAAATGCTATCTTTGAACAGTCAGCGAAAATTCTATCTTTGAACAGCCAGCCTCACACCTAGGTTATCGCTTATTTCTCGAAGGAGTAGCATCAGCCGCACACTTATTCGACAATGTCTTCATTGTTTATAAAACGAAATTGAAAACGAAAAAAAGTACCGCTCTTATCGCTAATTGCAAATTGTCAACAATTACCAATTCTGGAAAAATCATCCATCACACTGTTGGGTTCGTCAATGGACATTGTTGTCATCTGCCAACTTTGTGTTGTTGTTTCATTAAGGAAACAAATGAATGCAGGGCTTTGTTCTCAAGCTGCAAGCAGCAATGATCGACTTTTTCTTTTTCAAGAATACATTTTTTATCAACACTTCATCCTGATGTGTAATGGGGGTATATTGTGTTTCATCGAAATATCTCGGACCGCTCCTTCTAACCTCACAAAGGTTCAAAATTTTCTGTTTTTATAAAACCAATGTAAAGCGCATGGAATGTCCGACTTGATCTAAACTTTGAAAATCGTAATATTTTCACCAAACCTAGATCATGTCCAAAGATGGGAACCATCGTTCCAATCCTTCTGGCATCCCTCCCAGAAAGAGTCGAAATTTCGAAACAATTTTTAATTCAATATCAAACAAATGGATTGACCGATTTGATCCAAACTTTATAAATCGTAATATTTTCATCAAACCTAGATCATGTCCGAAGATGGGAACCATCGACCCACACCTTCTGGTACCTCCCACACAAAACGTCAAAATTTCGAAAATTTCTTAATTCAATAACAAACCCGATTTGATGCAAACATGGAAAATCGTAACACTTGTATCAAACCTCGATCATGTCCAAAGATGTGACCCATCGACTCAGGTTGGACCCGTCGTCGGTCCACTTCTTCCAGCACCTCCCCCACAAAGTATCAACATTTCGAACATTTTTTTTAATTCAATATCAAGCGAATAGAATGTTCGATTTGATCCAAACATTACAAATCATATTTTCTTCAAACCTATCAACATTTCGACAAAGAATCAAAAATTTTTTTTTGAATTCAATATCATTTTTTCCACTTTGCAAATCGTAATATCTTTACCAAATCTATATCATGTCATCTGGTACCTCCCCCACAATATTTTAAAATTTTGACAATTTGTTAATTCAACACCAAACAAATGGAATGCCCGATTTTCTCCAAACATTGCAAATCGTAAATCGCAAATCGATGGTACCCGTAGGACCACTCCTTCTGGTACCTCCCCACAAAGTGTTACAATTTTGAAAATTTCATAATAATAATGGAATTTTCGATTTGACTCAAACTTTGTAAATCTTAATACTTTTACCAAACCTAGTTCATGTCCGAAGATGGGACCCATCCACCCACTCCTTCTGGTACCTCCCCACTATGAGTCAAAATTTTGAAAATTTCTTAATTCAATATCAAACGAATGGAATGTCCGATATTAAATTGAAGAAATTAACCCGTATTAAAAAAAACAACTCTTATAATTTCCTTAAATTACATTAGGTTTTATTTGTATTTTTTGTTTTTTCTTTTATTGTATTTTATTTACCAACAAACGTTTTGGCTAAATCAGTTCATAAAACTTAGTTTGTTTTGTATTTTATTAGTATTATTCAAATTATCATATATTCTAATTTTTCATAAATTAGCCAATATGTGTGTGTGTGATAAATGCTCTTTTCTTTTAATATATAAATATATTTCTTTTTAAGTTTGTTTGTTTCGAAGTCAAGAGGAGGAGTTTACTTAAAAAATATAGAGGATGCAGAGTTAAAAAAAGAAAATAAAGATTGCATTTGATACGATTATTTTGTAATTATTTCAAATACAAATAATATGAAGAGTAAATTAAAACTAAAACGTAGTTGACTACTATTTTTGTTTAGTAAAAAAATAATTGAGTAGGTTGATTGATTGATGGATGGTGGACCGTTTTTTTCTCTCAATTGTCTTTCATCGCGTGGGTAGTTGGGGGGTTTGTGGTGTCTCGACATCATCACCATCATTATTATTACTATGTGATATATATTTGTTTGTGTGTACATAAAGATGATGCCGCCGTTACCTGCCGCGCCTTAACATTTAGTAATATTTTCGCTTTTCGATTTTTAATACAAGAAATTAAGAAAATGACTAAAAAAATAATTCTAAAATTTATATTTTCATATCGTTGACATAGGCATCTAATTCGGCATCAAGCTCTTCAGCTGTGGGTGTTGGTTTGTTGGCGGCCCGAGTATTGCCACCACCACCGGCTTTACGATTTGCGGGTCCACCACGACGAGCACCGCCACCACCAGCGGCTAAAAAAGTAAACAAAATAATAGCATTTAAAATATATTCGGTGGAAGGTTGTATGAAGTTATGTTAACTTACCACCACCTCTTCGGTTGCCACCAACAGGTTGTCTTCTTCTATTGGGACTGGGTCCGGTGGTATTGTTACGTACAGGTGCTCTGGTTGCAGCAGTAACTGCTGAGGCATCAGTCAAAAATTGTATACTCATTGGTCTGCCATCCAACGGTACACCATTGTATTGTTTGATGGCCTTCAATGCATCGGAACGCCTTTCAAAGACAACATCAGCAGTTCCTGTAATTCAAAAAAATATTAGTTTTCAAAAGTTGAAAAAATATTTTCTTTAATGTTTAGAAAACCTTTCCTATAAAAATGTCGCCTAAAATATACCACCTAATAAAAATTTGTTTTTAAGATTTTTCTTTTAGAAAATTTCATCCTTGATGGAATTTTTTTATATAGAAAAATTCATCCATGAAGGAATACATTTTCCATAGAAGTCTATCATTGATGATTTTTCATATAGAAAAATTTATCATTTATGACTTTTCCTATAGAAAAATTATGTCCCTGATGACTTTTCCCACAAAAAAGTTTCTTTTCACATAGAATGGTTCCTACGGATTAATTTTCCTATACAAAAGTTCATCCAGGCTGAATTTTTCTATAGAAAAGTTCATGCAGGATGAATTTGCCTACAAAAAAGTTAACCTTTGACGAATTTTCCTGTACAAAAGTTCATCCAGCAAGAAATTTTCTATAGAAAAGTTCATCAAGAATGAACTTCCTATAGAACAATTCATGTAGGAATAATAAAGTTAATTCAGAATGAATTTTCCCAAGCAAAAGTTCACCTATAATTCATTCATCTATACAAAGCTTCATCCATTAGAAAAATGTAATCCAAAACTAATTTCTCTATAGAAAAAAAGTTCCAGAATTATCAAAAAAAAAAAAAAAAAAAATCATCTAAAATGAATTCTCATATACAAAAGCTGATAAAGGATGGATTTTCCTATTTCATGATCATTCGTGATGAATATTCCTGTACAAAAATCCAAAGTCCATAAAAAAAGTTCATCGAGAATGAAATTTCCTTCAGAAAAGTTCATCGGGGATGAATTTTCCTAAACTTTTGTATAATAAAATTACATGCGGATTAATCTTTTTTCGAAAAAAAAAATCATTGTGGATGAACTTTTCTATTGGACAATGAAATTACATGCGGATTAATCTGTTTTCGAAAAAAGTCTTCCTGGATGAACTTTTCTATTGGACAATGACCTGCAGGTAAACTCTCTGTATAGACAATTTTAATCATGGATGTGCATCCATTTCCTGTAATGTTCATTCATTTCTAAACAGAAATTCATCCCAGATGAACTTTTCTAAACAGAAATTCATCTCGGATGAACTTTTCCAAACATAAATTCATCACGAATGATTTTTTCTGTAGGGAAATTAAAATTAATTAATTAAGTTCATCGAGGATAAATTTTCCTTTAGAAAAGTTCATCGAGGATGAATTTTCCTTTATGAAAGTTCATCCAAAATGAATTCTCCTATACAAATAAGCTTAATAAAAATGAATTTTCAATAAAAAATCATACAGGATGAATTTTTTATAAAGAAGTTTATTCAGGATTATTTTTTCTATACAAAAGTTTATCCAGGAAGAATTGTCCTATTGAAATTTTCTTCCATGAATTAATTCCCTTACAGAAAAAAATCATCCGGGATGAATTTCTGTTTGTTTTAGAAGAAAATATTGGTTTGTGTACGAGAAACTAAACTTGATTTTGTGGAGTTGACAAAACAGGGAATGCAGCGGTTGCAGATCAGATCGATCGATTGATTTTGAATAACACTCGAGGGGAAATGGTTAGAAATGTGAAAGCTGGTCCTTCATCATCAGCAGACTTTTTTCGAGTTTTGCTAAATATAGCTGAATGAATTAATTCCCCTACAGAAAAAATCATCCGGGATGAATTACTGTTTAGAAAAGTTCATCCGTGATGAATTTCTGTTTAGAAAAGTTCATCCATGATTAAAATTGTCTATACAGAGAGTTTATCCGCAGTTCATTTTCCAATAGAAAAGTTCATCCGCAATGAATTATTTCTAAAAAAAGATTAATCCGCAAGTGATTTCCTTATACAAAAGTTTATCTGTGATAAATTTTCCCGTAGAAAAGTTCACTTGAAATCAGTTTTCCTACAGAAAAGTTCATCCGGAATGAATGCCTTTATTAAAAAAGTTCATCCGTGATGAATTTTCCCAAAAAGATTAATCCGCAAATAATTTTCAAATACAACATTTTATCTGCGATAAATTTTCCCATTGGCAAGTTCATCCGAAATCAGTTTTCCTACAGGAGAGTTCATCCTTAATGCATGAACTCTTCTGTAAAAAGCATACATCATTGATAAATTCTCATTCACGGTATCTTTCTGCACAAGATCTCAACATTGACGATTCATTCTGTGGAACCAAATTTCCTCATTAAAATATATTATCTTCCATCCCTAATAATCTTTCATTCCTTTTCTACAAGACAAACATTATACAACATTTCTTATTAAAACATCAAAATGTGAATATACCAACTTACCCAATGATCTACCCGAACGATCGTAATGTACAGCCGCCTTCTTCAGCGGTCCAAATTCGGTGAACAACTCCTTGATATCCGAATCCGATACGCCATAATCCAAATTTGATACTAACAGCTTTGCCGAGTCGGACGATTTCAAAATTCCACGTTTAGGTCCATCGTACATGTCATGTTTCCAAGCGCTGTTTACATCGCCCTAGAGTGAAGTAGGAGTAGGTACAAGTTGCAACAGAAGTTCGACTTTTGTGTTTTGTTTGTTTGTTTGATTGATTGCTTTGTTACTGTACTAAAGGATTTTTTTATTTTGTTTCTATTTTTTGTTTTGTTTGAGAAGAAAATCTTGGTTTGTGTACGAGAAACTAAACTTGATTTTGTGGAGTTGACAAAACAGGGAATGCAGCGGTTGCAGATCAGATCGATTGATTGATTGATTTTGAATAACACTCGAGGGGAAATGGTTAAAAATGTGAAAGCTGGTCCTTCATCATCAGCAGACTTTTTTTTTCGAGTTTTGCTAAAAATAGCTGTAAAACGTTGCTAAATTCTAGAGAATGAACCTCCCCCAACATCGATGCCGGGGGAGTTTTTACTTGGGTTGTTTCAAAAAAAAGGAAATTATTTTATATCGCAAAAAATGTGATTTGATTTTTAGATTTTTTGGGGGGGAAATTTTCATTGTAAATAGGTAGCAAATGTGATTGGTAGTAGTGGTAACACAATAACAAAGTTTGGTCAATACAAAATTATGTTGTATAGTAGTAGCAGTTGTTGTTGTTGAAATTGAAGATAAGCATTGGCAAAACGTAGTTTATTTTAGCTTTCATTATTTTGGTAATAAAAACTGATTTGATGAAATGCGAATAAGTGGGAGAAACGATGCAAATAAAAAAAACAGCAACAACAGCCAGCGATTGATGCCATTTGTCATTTTTGGATTTATCACGCACAGTACAGACAGTGTTGCCACATTCATTTGTGTGTTGTAGTTCTCTCCGCTCATTCGCTCTTTCCTCTCTCTCCCGTTCCCGCTCTTTATCTATATATGTATTTTAGCATCTTTCTTTAGGTTTTATATTCTTTGCATTTTTACGATGATGTCCCGTTATGAGGCCATTTTCTTTTTTTCGCAATGGAAATTTTCTTCATAATTCTGAATCTGAATACCGTTGTGTTTTTTGGGAAACAAAATGTTAAAAATTTGTTTAAAAATTCAATTGAATTATCTGCCACAGCCGTATTTGTTTGTTTTCTCCGCTCGTTTTTCTTTCTTGCTCTCCTCTCCTGATAACGATGTTTGACAAATATTATGTTCACATTTTTGTCTTTGTTAACAAGCCAGGTGTGAGCCATTTTGTAAAACTCGTTGCTTGGTGTTTTTTTTTTTACTTTTTTTGGTTTAATGAATTTCATCATAGCTTTACCCTTGAGAATTTGGCTTTTTGTATTCCGCCAGCACCACGGCCTTTAATAACAGCACCGCCGCCGCCAGGTTTACGTGGAGAAATTGGTGCACGACGTCCAGCACCACGACGTGCCCCTTGATTTGCACCGCCACCGCGTCTATTTGCCGCTGCAACGCCACCACGATTTCCACCAACTTTTTTATTTTGTCCACGATTGGATTTGATAATGTCGTCCAAACTCATTTCAATTTTATCCACCATTTTGTTTAATTTATTTTCTTCTTGCGTAACTGTACACGATAATATGCGAAAAATAATTAATTAAATTGTCTTTTTTATTCCCTTTTACGCCGCGGACAAAAATAAAGATCGTCGGTGATTTCACTCGTAAAACAACTAAACCTTGATACGCGGTTGGTGGTCGGTCGGAAATAAATGAAAAAACACGCTTGGATAGCATTCAGTGTGGATGGATAGCTCATGCAGTTATTGATTACTATTTATCGATTGTTATCGGTTACTTTCACAGGGGTTGTTTTTAGAGGTTATGTTACATTTGCAACGAACATATTTAGATGAAAATAGAATTAATCCAAAAAAGTGTGTATTAGTAGATTCTTGCAGTACGGGAACAGAAAATATGTCGAAGGCCACTCTACAGTGATTTCATGAAATAAATTAAACAGAATTATGAGATCTTAAACGGCATATACATTAGCATTTTTGACAGGGTTAACCTACTTTATGAGGATTTATTTGACATATATGCAAAGGGATTGATTAAAGTTATTTACACAAGCGTTGAGAACATTTCGAATGTCTGTCAGCTGGTATTTGTCTGCATGTACACACACTCTCTCACTTGTCCACAAAAAGAAAATAATTGTTACCACGAATTTTATAATAAGAAAATAATATTTTAACGCAATTTTTTTTTGGAATTTGATATTAGTAATATTTTTATTTCCTCTAATACGTATTTTCGGATTTCTCTTGAATGAAAATCATCTGAAAGAGACAAAATCATTTCAGAGGCTCAGTGCACATATCGGTGGTATCGTCATTCGATAATTGTAAATGTGCTTTAAATAAATACAAATCGAGCAAGAACGACGAAAATTCAGCTCGATTTTTCAAATATGTTCATATAATACTTAAAGTGCATTTAGATTCAAGAAATTCACTCTATCTTCAATGGCAAATATGACGTATACGCTACGGAATTGACGTTTGAAATCACCTATAAAATATAGTTCATAAAGAGGTCTGTTCATGTGCTGCAGGAATCTACTATTTTGTACTACTATAACCATTTTTCCTTTATAATATCGAAAAAAAAATTAAAAAATTGTAGTAAAAATAGTAGATTCAAATTTATGTGTCTGTTCCAGATCCTGTAGGATGTACAATTATTTACAACGATAACAATTTTCCTTTTGGTCTGTTCCTGTACTGCAAGAATTTACAAGTTTTTACTATTTTTTTTTTTTTTTTGATATCATAAAGGAAAAAAGTGTTATCATAGCAACAAAATAGTAGATTATTGTACGGGAACAGACCATTAATGTCATTGAAAAGAATGGAATCCAATTCTTGCAGTACGGGAACAGATCAATAGTGTGTACATCGGTTAATGTAAACATAGCATTAAATTCGATAAACATTATCGCCATGATTTCGATAATTTCAAGTGCATTGTAATTGATATCGTGTTATCACTATTCAAGTGGGTTCCATTATCAATAGGGTGTTCTAAGTGTATTTCTTTGGCCAAAGTTTTAAGTTTTACTTAAGTGGAGAAGTTGGAAAAGTGTAAAATAGTTTGTATAGAAAATAAATATGTTTATAGTTGCAATAACGGGTGGAATAGCAACTGGCAAAAGCACAGTTAGCAAAGTTTTTCAAGACAATGGTATTCCGGTCATAGATGCCGATAAAATCGCCCGACAAAGTAAGATTCTAAACCAAATAAATCATAATTAGGAAATGACCTAAATTAATAACTATTTTTGCGTTTGTAGTTGTGGAGCCTGGCACACCCTGCTGGCATAAAATTAAAGAAGTATTTGGAGATGAGGTATTCTTACCCACACGTGAAATTAATCGTGCCGCATTGGGAAAGGCCATCTTCAATGACAAGGAGTTGAGGGGAAAACTAAATAAAATTACACATCCTGTGATACATCGTACCATATTCAAAGAAGTTTTTAAGCATTTTATGACTGGGAAGGCATGGATTGTCTTGGATTTGCCATTGCTCTTTGAAACGGGCATTTTAATGGATTTTATACATAAAATTATTTGTGTTACATGGTAGGCCACAAATATGAACTTCGGTGTTCTTCCAGTATTTTTACTTTGGAAATTATTTTTAGCGATCCCGACAAACAATTAAAACGTTTAATCGAACGCAGTGAACTATCCGAGGAAGATGCCAAGAAACGTATCGACTCCCAAATGCCTCTGGAAAAGAAATGTGAGAAGTCGCACTTTGTAATTGACAATAATGGTTCCATTGAGGATGCCCAGGCGGCAGCCCAACGCATTTGCAATATGATGAATGAAAGTAAACAGCATTGGCGCAATCGCTTGAGTCTGCTCGGTTTCGTGTTTGCCATACTATTTGTTTTGTACTATGTAAACAAAATATTTAACATTTTTCCAAGTTTAGGTAGCATTAAAAGCTAAAGTAATTGTTCCATATACTACTGAATAAATAATTGGATTTTTTAATATAGCCACAGACTAGCCAAATATGTATGTACACAAAGACAAAAAGTTAGAAAAAGTAAATACCAACAGATGTTATATGCTATAAATTAGTAATTATTTTATTTTAGCAGTGCATCCACAATCCAATAATAATTATAATAAATTATTTATGACTCTAATTGGTTTTTTGTTTTTTTTTACAAACTTATTTTAATATTAGATTAATACTTTTCCCCCTACTAATTTGTTGTCTCTGCTGGTGGTATTTCCTTTTCCATTTCTTCCTTCTTATTTTGTTGCAATCGTTCTTCCACCGCCTCAAGACGTTTGTTCATTGCGCCCAATGAGTCCAGCAGTCCCTTTTGTATTTCACCATAACGTTTCATGGCCAATATTAAACTTTCTTCGATAAGTTCCGCCTGCTGGGCAAATTCTTTATTGTCTTCGTTGATTTGTTTTAGCTTGTCCACGCAACCACCGGGAATGTTACGAAAATATTCCGCCCCCAATGTCGGCTCCAATTCTTTGACACGTTCCAGTTGTTGAAATTGTGTATGCAAATCATTGGCCACAGCATTAAGATACACTTCCTTGGCACGAACCTGTTGATTTTCCTCAAGGAAATGTGGATCCAAATATGTTTCCAATTCTTCACTGCGATCTACAATTGCTTTGATTTTGTCACGGCCCGAAATGGCTTCGTTAACAATGTTATTGGCCGATATTAGGGAGTCGACAATATTCTCCGTTGGTGCCTTTGATGATTCACCAGAAGAATTTCCATCTTGGGGGACACCCAAAATACGTGTCAGGGTATCTATGCGTTTTTCCAAAATGTCGAGAGCCTCCATGTTTTGCGCTGATTGGAATGAAATAATTGAGTACTTGCAAAAAAATCTATTTTTTATTTTCAATGATGTCAACAAATACCAAGTGATTTTTTTTTTCTTAGGGATATGTAGATCGTTTTGTGACGATTACTATGGTCGATTAGTTATTAATCTATCTATGTATCCCTTGGTATGTTCACGTCAAAGACATAAAAGTATATTCACGTACTGCAAGAATCGACTACTTTTTACTATGATAACGAATTTTCCTTTATGATATCGAAGAAAATAGTAAAATCTAGTAAATTCTTGCTGTACGGGAACAGACCACCTAATAGCAAATAACTTGGTTATTATTGACATAAGCTGTGATATCGTATTGTACACAGAATTGGAAATTAATTGTCTGTTTCCTGAAAATATTGATACAAAACGGATCAAGGAAAGTCTTAACTCTAGTTTAGTAAAAAGGATAAGATTTTTCTGAATTTTTTTTCCAGAGGTATGTATTTTTATCATAATTGAGGTGATATCTTTTTTTCTTGGGGGACATAACCGGTTATTTGACCCGGAAGTTCGGGTACCCGGTTACATCCGGTTCTACGGATCGGATGGGAATCAAAAGTTATAAAAATACCTTTCCATTGAGTGGTGATATGATGGCGTTATCTCAAACCGTTTTGGAGATACAGTCAAATAACTGGGTTTTGGACCCCGATTTTATTGAAAAACCCCCTAAAAGTCGAACATGGGTCCATTATAGTCCCCCTCCAATCATGACTCAATTTATAGACCACAATTTGCCCATTCCAAAATGGTGCGATATGTGGCTTTAACCGGGTACGCCCCCCAGAAAAAAGATATCCTCATAATTGTGGATCAAAAGATACCCGGGCCAAATAACCGGGTACGTCCCCCCAGAAAAAAGATATCCACATAATTAGGGTAAAAATACCTATCTCTAGAAAAAAAATCAGAAAAATCTGATCTATTTTACTAAACTACAGTTGTTCCCAAGGAAAATATATTAATTCGGATTTAAAGAGAGTAGCCGGAGAAACTGTGCAACATCTATTGGCTTTAGCCATAAGTCTATAGACAATAGATGGTGTGTGTGTGTGTCGTGAGGGCTTTGTTGGCAGGAGGAACACCTATTTAGGGTTCCGTAACAATGCACTCCCGATACGAATTCAGAACATTGCTGTACCTCCTTAGTTGTTGCAGAATCGAACGGGAAGAAGCCTCTCATTGCAGGAGGAGGTAGGAGTAGGACTTTATTGCATATGTAGCCATTTATGGCTTCGGAAACCGCCATTTGATGCACGAATTTCATCGTGTTCGCTATCGATAATCTATTGACGTCCGATTGAATGATGCCTTGTATTTCATGACGATAGCGCCTGAAGTCTTGACGGAGGTGGAAATGTCAAGCTGTAAATTGACTTTGATCTCACTCACTCAAAGTTTTATAAAATCAGAATATTTTTTTATTTATTTAACATCAAATCGTTTCTTATTTAAGTTAAATAAATAAATCACTGATGGTTCTTTTGTGCCTTTTTCCAATCCCATTTCAAACGATTAATATATGTTTTGAATTTCTCTTCGACTTGTTCATATACTCTTAGATCTTCTTCATTCTGGGATTTTATATATTTCGACCTTGCAATATTCCTCAATTCAACAAGATGTGTAGCTTCTTCATTCCACCATGGCTTAGGTTCAAACGAAGGAACATGTGATTCTGTCCGTTTTTGACTCGACTCCTCTTCCATACGTTTCCATGCCTTCTTCTTACGTGAAATACATTTCTTAAATGCATCCTCCGCGTTTATACATTCAAAGGCATCTATATATAATTTGGTCTTTTCGAATTTATGTCTTGCTTCATTACGTAGATTAAAGAGGCGCGTAACTTCCTCACACCACCAGGGTTTAGGTTCGTGGTCCTGCTGCTTGTTTTTATTTCCTATATTTTTCCTATTATTCTGTGATTTTTCATGATTGTGAATTGTTTGTGTTAGATTTTTCTTATCATGATTTGAAATGTTGTATTCCGTATTTGAGACGATTGTTATTTTTTCATTATCATGGAATTCTTCGTGGTTGGTAGATATTTGTTCATTTTTGTTATTCGAATCGCTCTCGAATTCATTGATACTAACTGACTCGATTCTAGGCTTAGTTTCCTGAACATCATCTTGGTATTCTTCACGGTAGTCAGTTGATTCCATTTTGGCCTCATTGTTGTTATTCACATCGCCTTTAGTATCATTGATGTTAATTGACTCCATTCGTGTTGCAATTTCCATATAATGATTTAGAGCTATTTCTTGTATGCCAATTGATTCGATTTCTTGCTCGTTATTTGACTTCAATTTCGATTCAATGTTATTTGACACGATATTAGGATCATTATTGTTAAATGATACAATTCTTAATGCAATTTCCTCATCATTATCCTTCAAGCCCTCATTGAGGTCCCTTAAAAATTGAATCTTTGATTCATCACTGTCCGCATTTGACTCATTATTAGCATTTATCGTAACCTTATTTGTACCATTATATGGTATTAATTGTAATTTCCGCCTTTGCTCCAATTTCCAGGCATATTTCAATTCATTTATACGTTTTCGAAATGCATCGCCTGCTTCCTTGAATGCTCTAAGGTCATCCAAAGTACCAGACTTATAGTATTTTACCTTTGCCTCATATTCGGCGTTCAGCAGTTGGGTTGCTTCCTCACACCACCATGGTTTTGGAATATATTGCCGTTTTGGAGCATTGACTTTTTCGATCTGTCGTATTCGTTGTTTTTGTTTCCATTCAAATTTCAAATCTTTTATGAAATGGTTGTATGTTTTGTCGGCCTGCATATATGCTTTAAAATCTTCATCAGTTCTGGACATGTAATATCGCAACTGTGCTTGATTTCTATAGGCCAATTGTTTTTTGGCCTCATTACTCCACCAGGGTTCTTTCCGGTTTTTATTAGTTTTTTTCCTATTTGGATTTCGGTTTACTACGGTTTTGGAATTGGACGTCTCCATTTTGTGAGGTTGTGAGAATATCTGGAGAAAAGGTACAACATTTTTTTTTTTTTTTTTTTTTTATATATTATTTTGGTTGGCCCACTTTCTATAGGGATAGAAGGTTTAGTGCCATGTATCCGTATGTAGCTTTGCTACGAACTTGACTTTATCCATAGATGGTGGTTTGCGTTTTGCAGGTTGACTTCGATCTTCTTTAAGAATTTGACCACAATGTTCAGACTTTCTAAGCCTTGTGTATCAGTGAACTCTTCTACTGTGAAGGAGTCACATAGTAGCGAAAAGCATCTTCTTTTGCTATTAAATTTACGAAAATTAAAAATTTCATGCGCAGCTGTTTGGATTTTGTTGAACGACTCGTAATTTATAGGTTATCCGTATTTAAAAACACACGTGTTAGTTAAGCGAACGCTTAACAACCGCCATTTTGTAAAAATCTATTTTTAAGCCCGTGGGCGTGCAGTACTCATTTAAAATTTTTTTTTACGTCTTTCTTGTGAGCCGTCCGAGGACGAACTGTGAAGGTACAACATTTATTTATCAATTTGTGTGTTAGTTGCCTGTTGTGCTCAAACATGTTGTTGTTTGAAAGCTCAACACGAGCACCAAGGAAAGTTTCACAAAATAACAAACCTTTCAAAGATATATGTATCCAAAATTTATTAATAAAATATTTTAAAACGATATATTTTATTAATAATACTCAAAACGTGATTATATTGAAATTATATTTAATTTTTTTTCGGTCAAAATAGTTCGCGAAAAAATTAAACTTTTCCAAGAATCAAAAAAAGCGCCATAGTAATCGATTACTGAGTACTTTCTGGACCACAATGATGTAGTTTACACAAAGCTGTTTCATACATTAACATAGCCTAATTGTTTACACATACCCAAGATCCATTCACAGGTCGTGTAATAGTACGTTTACATTTAAGCGGATTTCATTAACCCAGTTGTCAATTCCTTTGCATATATGTCAAATAAATCCTCATAAAGTAGGTTAATACGGCGTTACATTTTATCGGATTTCGTTAATCCAGTGAGTTTAAATTATCAATTTCATTGTATATATGTCAAATAAATCTTCATAGTGAAGGTTAACCCGGTAAAAAGTTCTAATGTAAACGCCGTATAACCCTGGAAAATTTTCTAATGTATATGATGTTTAAGAAGCGAATATTATCGGCGGTTTTGGTTGAAAATCCCACAAAAATTGGCAACTTTTTTGAAAGCATGAAGTGAAAATTAAAATCTCTTTGACAGCTCTGGTAAAATCATCTTATCGGACGATCTCATTATTGGGCCATGGCACATACATTAGATCATGAAGTACATAAACATCAACTGATGTTTGTTTGAATCATTTTATTGGACGCCCTTATTATTGGGCGATGACATATACCCTAGATCATGATCTAAATAAAAAGCAGCCGATGGTTGCCGTAGTAAATATGTGCAAAAATAATTGTTGGATATTTGAAAATTTAAAAAAAAAAATTGAACAATTAAAATGTTGTGATAGTTTAGAAAGAAAAAAAAATTTCATAAACTCAAAAATATTATAAATAGTTTTTGTTCATTTGCACCTTTCGTTCTTCAATTTGTCACCAGTTGAATAGAACTCGATTTAAGTGACACCAACATTCAGTTAATAAATGAGTAATGCGACAAATGAACTTTATTTCAATTTAATACTATTCTAAACATCTACAATTTCATACAACCATTAACCAATCGAGTCGATTAAAAGACATAAGAACATTTTACAGATATAACCTACTTTATGAGGATATATTTGACATATATACAATGTAATTGACAAATAAAGCCCACTGGATTAAAGAAATCCGGCACAATGTAAACGTTCTAATAGGTGCCTTTAAAATTAAATGCGAAATCATATTCCCAACTCGATTTTGAAAATAAAACTTTTGTGCCCACACGTGTTTCTTCATTCTTGTTTATTTGTTTCCCTTCCACAAATGTAACTTCATTACATCGAGTTATTTTCTATCAGAAATTTATTTTAGTTCGCCAAACAAACAAAACAACTGATTTATTTGGCTTACATATGAAAATACATACAGAAATATAGCAGCCCCTAAACTAAAAAATTTAGTTGTCATATCGTTTTAACAGATGCAATTTTTCGTGTGGGCCACACGACATGTACGGTATTAACATATACATTTTATTAATTTCTAATGTAAACATTTCCTAAAAGCATCAAATTGTCGTGTGTTACGGCTAGGTTTTAAACTAATAGCGAATCGGATGAAACGTATTCAGCAAATAACGGGTGTTTATAACATTCTCCGCTTTACGCTCTGGCAACCCTTCATTTCAACAACAACTACAACATGTTTTTGGCAGTGTAGAATATTTGTCAGGCGCAGTAATCACACAACAATTCCTTTGTAATCGAATACTCGGTATACCTTTGCAACACTGACAGCAATAATTTTCATTTTCTCTTCTGCGAATCGACTAAAGAAAAAATCATGAACAGAGTCCGTGAAATTGCTGTAAATTGTACATTGTAAAAGTGTTTTAAATAAATAAACAAATAAAAAAGAGAATTAATTAAGAGAACATGTAATTCGTGGATTAATATTCATGTGGAAATAGTTCAGCAAAAGAACAAATAAATAGAAAAATAAACTATTTTATACATCTACAAATTGTCGTTTTCGTCGTCTACGTAGACACAAAAGCACCAACAAACACACTCATCAGATACATTTTACCAAGAACGCTGTTGGCTGCTACTGCCGCCGTCGTCGTCGCTGCTACTGCCTCTGCTGCTGCTGTTTACTGAAATTGTACATTGTGTGTATCGTTGTTGTCGTCGTCTTCTGCACACAGTCTGACTGATTGTCTGTCTGTCTGTCGAATAAGAAAAAGAAGAGCTAGAAAAAAAGTTAGAGCTAAAACGACTTACTACCAATACCAAGTACAGAAACAACAAAACTCAACAACAACGACGAAGACGTCGACCTAAAAAAAGAGGAGAAACTCATTACATATTCCAATCATGGACGATACCAGTATACAGGACAAGGAACGCTATGCCAGCCGAGAGAATCATTGTGAAATTGAACGCAGAAGACGGAACAAAATGACGGCATATATTACCGAGCTTTCGGATATGGTGCCGACATGCAGTGCTTTGGCCAGGAAACCCGACAAGCTGACCATTCTAAGAATGGCCGTTGCCCACATGAAGGCTTTGAGGGGTACTGGCAACACCAGTAATGATGGGACCTATAAACCCTCCTTTCTCACCGATCAGGAATTGAAACATCTTATATTGGAGGCGGCCGATGGTTTCCTATTCGTCGTGAGTTGTGATTCCGGTCGTATTATTTATGTTTCAGATTCCGTAACGCCTGTCTTGAATTATACCCAAAGTGATTGGTATGGCACCAGCCTGTATGAACATATACATCCCGATGATCGTGAAAAGATTCGCGAGCAGCTATCCACCCAAGAATCACAGAATTCGGGTAGAATATTGGATTTGAAATCGGGCACGGTGAAGAAAGAGGGCCATCAGTCCTCCATGCGTTTGAGTATGGGCGCACGTCGTGGTTTCATTTGTAGGATGCGTGTGGGCAACGTTAATCCAGAGACTATGGTTGCGGGTCATTTGAATCGTTTGAAACAACGTAACTCCTTGGGTCCATCACGGGATGGAACAAATTTCGCCGTGGTCCACTGCACAGGGTATATTAAAAATTGGCCACCAACTGAAATGTTCCCCGGTGTTCACATGGAACGTCCCGATGATGATATGCATGGATCTCATTGTTGCCTGGTGGCCATTGGCCGCTTGCAGGTCACATCCACCGCCTCGACAGATGTCACAAATGCCAACAATCAAAGTGAATTCATAACACGTCATGCTGTGGACGGAAAGTTCACCTTTGTCGATCAGCGTGTCATGAACATTTTGGGTTATACACCTCCCGAGCTGTTGGGTAAAATTTGCTACGATTTCTTCCATCCCGAGGATCAGTCACACATGAAGGAAAGTTTTGAGCAGGTGTTGAAGCAAAAGGGTCAAATGTTTTCGCTAATGTATCGGGCCCGGGCCAAATCGGGTGAATATGTTTGGTTGAGAACACAGGCATATGCCTTTCTAAATCCCTATACCGATGAGGTGGAGTATATTGTGTGTACCAATAGTTCCAATAAAGCATCGCTGCATGCCGCGACGGCTGGTCATGATAATAACAATCCGGAACAGCAGGAACATGTTTATGTTACACCGGGTGTCGATTATACGCTGCAGGGTAGACGTGATGTACCAGGTGGTGGTGCAGCTGATCCAAATATGTATGCTGCGCACAATATGATACCGCCCACAAATGCCGGTCCTCCGCCACATTTGGCTCAGCAGCAGGCCAGCAATCAAACACCCCAGAATGTACAAAGACCATCGTCGGCCCAAAATACGGTACCGTATAGTTATGATGCTACACATTCGCCGTTAGCTTATAATACAGCTGCCGGGGGACCATCACCCAACACGGTACATATGGCCAAGATACCCAAAGCTAATTCATCACCCACTCCGCAACATCCAACCAATTGGCCCCTGAGACCGCCACCACCTCAGCAGCAGCAACAACAACAGCCTGTGACAGAGGGTTATCAGTATCAACAATCGAGTCCGGCTCGTTCACCTAGTGGTCCAACATATACTCAGCTGAGTGCTGGCAATGCACGACAAGCAGCAGCAGCTGCATATCAGACAGGCCCGGCCCAGGCGCCACCGCATGGTATGTGGGATTGGCAGACGGCCCAACATGCACCACATCCTACTGCCCATCCAGGGGCACATCCACATCATGCTACGCATCCACATGCCACACATCCAGTGCATGCTCATGTTCCGGGTCAACAACCACCACCACAACAAGGTCAGGAATTTTCCGATATGCTGCAGATGTTGGATCAGAGTGCCCCTGGGACATTTGAAGATCTGAATATAAATATGTTCAATACACAGTTCGAATAATGAGAAGAAGAAGAGGAGCATGGCGATGATGATGAACAAAATGACGTATTTTATTGCTTAGTTTTTTTCTTTTCTTTTTTCCACCAAAAAAAGAAAAATATGCAGAATCAGTATAAGGCAGCCCCGAATAAAATGAAAAATACACAACAAAAACATAGTTTATAAGTCTCGATAACAGCAACAACAACTTCTTTTTTTATAAAATAAAAACCAACTTTATGTATGTATGATGGAAAAAAATATATTTTAAACAAAAACAAATAAAATGTACATATAATTTCAGCTGTGAGGGGAGGGATAGATAGTTGTTGCAGTATAGTTTTTGCATTAATATCAGCATTTTCAACAACAATATCAGAATTTTCAAAGTCATTTTATTTGGGAGAATTATCTTCATCATCAATTTTTTACTTGAAGGCATTTTTTAAATAGAGCTGCAAACGCTGGATTAGCGTGATGCCTATGGGATATAAACTTCAAAAAACTCGTCTTACAGAATTTTTTAATGTTTTTTATTGAACAAATATTAAAAAGAAAATAAGATCATATTTAAAACCCCTAAGAAGTTATTGAATAAAACTTTTTTAATCCAAAACGTTTTTGGTTTTAAAAAATAATTGTTTTTTTTTAATTTAGGATTAGATTCTTTTGTTAGAAGAAATTGAATACATTGAACCGGAAGGTTTTTATATTTAAAAAAAAATTTAAAAATTAATTTTTTAATTTTAAAAGATTAAATATTTAAAAAAATTATGCATGATTATGGTGTTGAATAATATTTTTTTTTATAAAAATCAAAAAAAAAAATATTTAGTATTAAAACCCATTAGGAAGACTGCGTGTTGAAAAATTGAGTTTGATTCCATACTTCATTTGGGATTTGAAAAATATATTTTTTGCAAAATCCGTGCTAAAAAATATAGCATTGAAAAAATATGTTTAAATAAAATATTCTCAACTGCAAAATTTGTATTAACAAAATTTATTTTCTACAAAATAAATAACAAAAAAATTAAAAAAAATAATAATATTCAAGTTGAAACTTCTAGAACGACACTACTATTTAAATTTTGTGTTCCTAATATCTATGCCTTAGAATTGTCAGAATTCCCCAGGATTTTCTTGTTTGATTATTCCTTTTGAGATTTAGAGACATCGCTATCCTCCTCCGCATTGCCAATATCGCTAACTTCCACTACAGCATTTTCATTATTTCGGTCATTTTTCATAGCTCGTTTATAGTCACGAAAACGTGGCCGTTTTGCGGCATATAACTCCGATTCACTTTCACTAGTATTTGTTGTGGTCGTTGTATTACCACCGACCACACCATAATATCTAGCTGATCGTCGATCATCATCAGCACCATCTTCATTATCACTTTCCAATTCAGACGATAAGGCAGCTTCACGCCGTTTACGTGCATTTAACCAGGCAGTCATGAGTTTATTCATTTGTGGCTTTTCATTTACCATTTCTATAGGTTTGTTACATTTATCCGATTTGTTGCGGGAATTATTAACCAAATTCGATACTTTGTGCCATTGGAGTTGGGTACAGGGACGTAGTGTGGCCAAGGCTTGCTCATCGCTGACATTTTTAAAATCTAACCATGTCTGCAATAGAGTAATAATTTAATTTTTAAAAATAGTTATAAACAAATTAATAACTTACATTCAGCTGCTCCTCTGTCTCCAATATGGCTGGCATGCGATAATGTAGCCAGGACATAATTTTGGAAGATTCAAATGTTATAATACTATAGCTATATATCTTATCACCCTGTTCATCCTCCCACACATCAAATATGCCGGCCATTTTTAGCAGATTCACATCTTCCGGCTGCCAGGTATTGCGATCATAAATCTTAATCTGTTCCTTTTGCGGCATATACAATAGATGGGCAGCTCTTTCGGATGGTTTGGCAGATTTTGTTGTTTGCCATTCATAGAACCCTAAAATAAAACCTAATTAGTAAAATGTATTGGTAAATAGTTGATACTGATACCCACCTTCGCACAGTACAGCACAACGTTGACCTCGACGAAAAGGACCTCTATATAATTTCGAATTCAGCATATGTTCCAAACGACAATTGTTCGTTGTCAGGCCGTGTTTACGATAATCACCTTTATGCCAAAACGGTATCATACCCCACATCATGGGAACAACAACACGCGAGCTTTCCATGTTTTTAGCTTCCTCTTCATCGTAAAAATGATATTTGGATGCCAAGACGGGTGTTATGTCTGTGGGTGCTATATTATATGAGGGCATATATTTTCGATCACAATTAAACTCCGAACGCCATGGAGGTTCAATTAGGCAGTCAACATTGTCCTCCTCCTTGTTGCTGCCTACCGGTTTCTTAGATTCCCGCTCATTTTCTTTTGATTTGTTCGATTGTTGCTTTGGTTCTCTATAACGACAAGCTTTTAATATGTCGCAGGGTTCCAATGTCCTATAGAGTATTAAAAATTAAAAATGACCAGGGGCAACTTTCAAAGCAAACTTACAAACAAGTACGTCCACACATTTGGCGAAATTATATACAACCCGTTGTTTTTTCCTTTAGTTTAGTGGCGCTTTCCTAGAGAAATGTCAATGCAGTCAATTACAAGGTGGCAACGGCGACAAACAACTAGATTTGGCTTTGGCTTTCACGTTTATTTACAAGGGTTTTGGAAATCGAAAAATGACTGCCGATAGGGATTTATAATTTGACATTTTAAGCAGATAAGCGTGAACTGCTGAAAATAGATTATATATGTATAGATCTTGTCATTATTTAAAAAATAAATTAAACCTTTTAAAAAACATTTTTTTAATATTCAAGATCAACAACACAGAATGGAAAAAATAACAAACAAAACAGTAAAAAACGCAGCTGGTCATTATAACGCCGTTAAATTCTCTTTCTGCAGTATTAACTGCGTCAATGTTCGCACAGTTGTACTCCGTATTCCTTGGCTACAACTAGTGAAAAGTTTGGACGCGACCGGCATTGTTTATAGGAGAAAATAAAAAACATTTTATATTTATTAAAAATGGGCGATCGTTACAACATTCATAGTCAATTGGAACATCTGCAGAGTAAATATATTGGTACCGGTCATGCAGACACATCCAAATACGAATGGCTAACAAATCAACATCGTGATTCCTTGGCCAGCTATATGGGACACTACGATATGTTAAATTATTTTGCCATTGCACTGAATGAAACCAAAGGACGAGTAAGATTCGATTTAATGGAACGTATGTTACAGCCGTGTGGACCACCACCCGAGAAGATGGACGAATAAATATTATTAATAAATTAGTTGATGAAAAATACATGGCTTGTTTTTTTGTTTGGGGATAAGTAAATTAGTGATGTATAATTTGGCGAGTAATTGAGTACTCGGTTTGTAATCTTGGAAAAGTAGTCAGGTATCCTATACGCATCAAATGCACTGAATTTGCGAATAGGGTTTTTACAAGAGAATTGCTTAAATTGCTATATCTCATCTTGACTTCATGACAAATTAAAAATTCTTCATAAAAATCACAGTTTTAGAGCGCGTTTAGGCTACGAAATCCACTCGATTCCGAATGTCAATTTACACCTTACATGGTAACAGATTTTGTTATATTGTCATTCCATTGCATATATATCAAATAAAACCTCATAAAGAATGTAACAAGTTCTAATGTATATGTCGTTTTACATTTAATGCCAAAATAATGTAATGTTTTATACTATTTTTATGTTCTCTTTGTTTTTATTATTTATTAAAATGTTAGAACACAACTCCCGTTTGACTACTTTATCATATAATCAAATTTGCCCAACATGGCAACCCCATGCGTTGAGTACACTTTTTTGACAACCCTCCTTCGGTCATACCGGATTTAACAACCCTGATCAAATAAAGTACGACGATAGGAAGAGAACGAAGAGAACCTCGTCTCGAAATATTACAAAAGAAATACAAATTGTAAAAATTGTTTTATTTTTACTTGAAATTTTTTTGTTAATTCATAATTTCCTACATCAATTACAACAAAAGTCCAACTTACATGCACATAGCCAATCACTGGATATCTCAATAAATCGAAAAAGAGTATGTGAACTAAGAAAAATATATAAAATTTTTTAGTATAGCCCCCCGACAAAAGTCGAAAGAAAAAACCCCAACGGTAGATACAAGAGAAAAAATGGAAAAAAATAATACAAAGAAAAGAATGAAAAAAAGAAAATTGAAAATTTCATTTGTCATGACAATTGAAAAGGCAAGAAAAATCAAATTAAAAAGAAAATCAATTTTGCTAAAAAAAACAAGAAAAAATACATATACACACATGTATATGAAATATTCACAAGTGAATTGTCGTTTTTTGTGCAAGATCTGTTGTAAAGATAGCAGTCAAAAATTTTGTACATATATAATTTGTGTGAATTTGCAAAAAATAAAAAAGAACGCACGAAACTCAACGACGACAAACATACATACACATTAGCAAGAAATGATGGTTGGTGATGAAAAGTGCATTTTTGTTTTTTGGTTATTTAATAATTGTATGAAATGTGTGTAGTGAGTGTGTGTGCCTGTGTGTGAAATCAAACAAGAAAAAAGTATAACATTTTTACCTTCGCGGGACATAACGACGGTGACCCAAACAACTAATTTAAGTTCGTACATTCACGATTATTGAGCAGCCAGAAGCAGCGGCAGACCAGAGACCCCCTTGCATTTATTGAGGCTCTTCTTGCAGCAATAACAACAACAACTACGACCACATCAGCTGCAAATCTAATATGTATCGTATTTGGTGTAAAATAAATTTCGTGATGCATTAATTGCGTCTTATTCTTTTTCAAAGGCAAATAATAAATATATTTGTCATGAAGCGGAGAAGGACAGTGTGTAAAGAAATAATATATTAGAAAATAATTTGGGCGAGGGTAGGTCTCCACAAAATGCAATGCATTTTCCCGTTTTATTTTCGCATATTCTCTAATGTGTTATCTCTTTTGATTGTATTAACTAATCATTAGCCGAGGAAGAAGAAGAAGAAGCAGCAGAAAAAAACAGTTAAGCCAGGGAGCAAATGAGGGAGAGCCAGAGAGTTGTGTTAGGCCTGCAATAAAATGTTTTCTTTTGTTGTTGTTATTGGAGGGGAGAGTGTCAACAACAAGAAACCCGAAGTAAAAAATGGGGACTTCTTCGAAGTTCTCCTACCAAAAACATCCCAAATAACAGAGTTGCAAAAACGAGTAGTTTATCAAATTAATAGAAAAATATAGAGCGAGCACGAGAGAGAGAGAGAGAGAGGCAAAATAAAGTAATAAATTCCCCGTTGAATCATTTTGTTTAATATTATTTATATATTTTGTTGGTAGATTTTCTAACTAATCTGTATTGCTTTTATAAAAATGCTGTATATTTATAATTATTGCTACGGTTGTTATTGTCCAAGAATGTGTAATTTAATTTGTTGAACAAACGAACGAACATCTTTCTTTCGCCTTTCCATTGATTTTGTCTTGTCATTTTGCAACACTTATAAAATGCGAAAGGTCTCTCATATCGTTTGCTTTCTGCTGCTGTTGCCTGGCTGCTGTTGTATATAATCAGACGAATATTACGGAACGTCACTCGTGAGAATTAAAAAAAAAGAAAAATAAAGAAAATAATACAAAGAAAATGTAAGAAAAAAACCGAGGCAAAATACATTTTTATTTTCTGCACAAGAAGAATAAGTTAAAAATATCGTTTATTAGTTTATATATGGTTCGGCGGTTCGATATATTGATGTTTGGTCCGTCATGAGCTGCACTTTTTTCCGAGGTGTGGTGATGATGGTGGCTTACAAAAACAACAAAAATGACAATTTTTAAATAAATTAAAATCACATAAAGTGCTTGTAATATTTCATGATTGATTTTAGCAAAACTGTCACCTTCTCCTCTCTTCCCTACCAAAAATCATTTGTTTGTCTTTTGCCGCCGCTGCTGCTGTCTGCCTGCATGCCAGTCAGCCATGAGGTGTTCTTAGCTGCTCGGCTGTGGCTGCTTCTCAATGCAAATGCCAAAAATGAATTCCTTTTTTTTTGTTCTTTTGTATATTGATGTAGAAATGTAAAACGTTTTCCTCTTTTCCTGAAATAAGAAATGAAAAAAGTCTTGTGTGTATCAATTTTAATGAATATTTTTTTGCATATAAACAAGGCAATTATTATAACAAAAAAAAAATATATTTTTCTTTAGTGTTGGTATTTTGTTCTTTAAAGTTTCATTGTGTCGTTTTTTTCACATCACATCTCCATGGCCAATTTTTGTGTGATTGTTTTTCTTTTGCAATTTTACGTGGAAATTTTCTCTAAGAAAATTTATTTATTACATGGAATATATATTTTTTCAAAATATATTTTTTGTATTGACTATTAATTATTTAATAACAAATCTAGCTCTTGTATCGAAATATTCCTATAAGTCCCCGGCCAATGGGCCAGCCACCAACCAGAGCTTTTTATTTAAATGTGTATTTTGTCCGGCAGCCGGGTGATGAAATCTTAATTTCTTTTTTTTTTAATTCTAAATTTTTGTTCCACCATCACTGGATGGAGTGCAGATTCATCTCTCGTTCGAAGCAAAATATCTTGGTACGATCCTGGACTGTCAACAACTACGATGGAACAGGAATGCTGAAGACGGGAAGATTGCACTCTATTCATGCAAGAATATCCATTGGGGAAAGTTAGGGGTTAAAACCATCGACTATACACTGGAAGTATAACACCGTAGTAGGGCCCACTGCCTGCGCCAATTCTTATAACTGGAGCCGCTAGGAGCACTCCCCAAAGGGGCTCTGAACGCTCAGCATTAAGTGTCAGGCAGCATTAAGTGTTAAGTAGCGCGTAGTGCATGAACAGAACCATTGGCAAAATTATGCTTATGGGCATAGATGTGTCCTAAACGAACAAGGTATCACATTGGAATTGTGGAAAACTACGTGAATATATATCACCAGTACTGAGATTTGACTATGTTGATGTCGTTATTCCCAGTAGAGACGACTGGAACAGTAGTAATCCTGACTTTTTATACAGATGGATCCAAGATGGAAGAAGATACAGGTGCTTGGCCTTGAGCTTGTATCCTGAATGAACAAGGACCAATGTGGACAACTAAGCGACTATATATCACCAGTCCTGAGATTTGACGATGTAGATGTCGTTATCCCCAGTAGAGACGACTGGAAGCGTAGTAACAGTCCTCTGGACGACAGTCTGGCTTTTTGTACAGACGAATCCAAGACGGAAGGATAGCAATTGCAGTGTTCTCCAAGCTGAAATCTTCACGATTTGGAAGGCTGCTAAATTGATTAAAAAAGTCTGAATGAATTGATTAAAACAAGTGGATAGTCAGGCGGCTCTTAAAGCCATCAAATGCTGTAACATCATGTCTGAGGTCGTCCTCGAGTGTAGAGCAGTTTTGGAAACACTGTAACATTATGGATAATGAAACAGCAGACAACATGAGTCATCGATTGCTACAGATCTAGCAATCGATGACTCGATCAAACTATCCATCTGTCACCTTTTCCGGATTTTTGAGGCACAACGAATCTAGGTGCAATGTGTTAAGATCTATCTGGCCGACTCTGTCAGCCCAAAGGACAAACTCACTGTTGGACCTGAGCAAAACTGAAATTAGAGCAATGACAGGAGTTATTACTGGTCATTGTAAGGTTCTGAAGATTTTTTAATTAAAAATATACTGCTGAGGGACTCTTGAGACATTTTTCTTTCATTGGAAAAAATACCTTAAAAAAACAATTTAATTGGAAGGGAGAATCCTTAAGTCCCCACTGAGGCCTTAGGAATTTTTCTTTTGAAAAATGGGGTCCTGGCATACCTGAGATTTTTTTTTTTTTTGCTCCGGTGGAATGTTTCCCCTGAAAGAAAAAGGGTCGCGAGGAGACCTGAGTATTTGTTTTAGAAAAAAAACACATCTGAGGACTTTTTTTAAATTATTGGTCACAATTCTAGATGCGTGTTTTGAATCTTAGTGTAAATTATTTTATGTATTCCAGACCACCGGGGATATGCTCCACATATTTCCTAAACCACAATATTGCTGGCAGGCCAAAATGTCCCATGGCCATTAAAACATTCATTCTATTTTTTTACATTTTCCCCAACAATAAAAATTGTTTTAAACATAATTCAATGATACAATAAATATTTTTTTTTTTATATTTCTCTTTTCCAGATTAATTTGTTGCTGCAAGGAAATTCTTCTTACCAATAACACAATACAATTTAAAATAATTGAAATCCACAATTTATTAATTCAACAACAAACATCAGAACACATTTGCTGCTGTTGCTGAAAAATTGAAGAGTTCCTCTTTGAACAACAAGAAGCAAATTAGCCATATTAGTACTGTTGTTTGTGGAAGACGGCAGATTGCAATTTCCAACGATATTTCAATAACTACATCGTAGCCCTCTATAAATAAATAAACTACTACTGAACAGTAGCCGATTTTTGGTGCTTAGATAAAAAAGGCATAGCCTTTTTTCTTTTAGTTCTAATCCTCTTTTCGTAATACATTGGCAAACAGAGAATTGGAGGAGGGAAGGTCAATTTTTTAGGTGGTGGAGTGCTGTCAACAAACAACACAAATTCACAAGAAAATAGAAAAGAGAGTAGCAGGAAATCAAAAAGCCGAGCAGCCACACTTTATCGGAAAGTTCGTAAAGGTGGATGAAACGAATTTCAATTGAAAACTATCACAAGTTTTCCTAAATAAATAATGAGTCGCCATGAAGGTAAGCAGTGATGAAATTCATTTTATAAATTTCCAATTGATGATCAAATAATTTCCTCCGTGTATTTTTGGTTTATTTGAAAATCTCCATAGGTGTCAGCTGCGATTCATGTCTTAAATCGAACTTTAATGGTCGTCGCTATAAATGTCTAATTTGTTATGATTATGATTTATGCGCCGACTGTTATGAGGAAGGTGTCACATCAACACGACACTTGGTCGATCATCCTATGCAATGCATACTAACACGTTCGGATATTGAATTGTTTTTCGGTGGTGAAATGCTCAATACCGAGCAGCCACAAAGTTTCACCTGTCCGTATTGTAAAAAAATGGGTTTTAGTGATGCCACACTATTGGAACATGTATCGTCAGAACATACGGAGACCAGCTCCGAAGTTGTATGTCCGGTATGTGCTGGCCTACCGGGTGGTGAACCGAATCTAGTCACAGATGATTTTGCCGGTCATCTATCGCTGGAACATCGTACTGGACCACGGGAATTGATTTCATTTTTGATATCCTTTTTAAACAAAACCAAACAACTTGTATTTTATATTATTAATTTTTTTTAACACTCACACATGTAACACTCTTACATATATAATATTTTTATTAGGGAAATCGTTATTATTAATTTTGATATAGCTCCCATATATATTTTCGTCGGATTTCATGTATAGGGTCCACCAAACTGCCAACGTGTATCCGATTGGCGTGAAATTTTGCATAGGGTAGTTAATTAAGTCTAGAATAATGTGTGCTAAGTTTTGTTAAAATCGATTTAAATTTATATATAGACCCCATATATATTTTCGTCGGAATTCATGTAAATGGTGCCCCAAACATCCAAAGAGTATCCGATTGGCAAGAAATTTTGCATAGCGGAGCGAACTAAGTGTAGAAAGACTTGTGTTAAGTTTCGTCAAAATCGGTTTAAATTTAGATATAGCTCCCATAAATATTTTCATCGGATTTCATGTAAATGATGCATAAAATATCCGAAGCGTATCCGATTGGTATGCAATTTTGCAAAGCGTATCTAATTGAGTCTAAGATACTATGTGCTAAGTTTTGTTGAAATCGATTCAGATTTAGTTACAGCTCCCATATATATTTTCGTCCGATTTCATGTAAATGGTGCCCCAAACTTCCAAATGTTTGTCCGATTGAGACGAAATTTTGTATAACATATTGAATTGCGTCTAGAATAATGTGTGTTAAGTGTTGTTAAAATCGTTTCAAATTTAGATATAAAATCGGGTCAGATTTAGATATAGCTCCCCACATATAGGTAAAAAATCCAAAAATCACATATCATTATCACTATATTTAATATAAACATTATTCTATAAAAAAAAAAAAAACAAATATTTCCATTGCCTTGCTATGGCATTCTCCTTAACTCCTTTGCACGATGAACCTTCAGCTATACGACATGGCGGTGGAGTACGTCGCATACCAGGACGTACACTTGGCGGACCACGAGCACGTCGTTCCAATATGCACTTTAGCTCTTCGAGTGGTCTCTCAGCTTTATCACCCTCTGGACGGGAATCGGTTGATCCGATTGCAGAGCTACTATCACAATTATCTGGCGTAAGACGAGGCGGACCGCCAACATCTCAATTGCAGCAGTTGCAAATGCAAATACAATTGGAGCGCCAACAAGTGACGGCAATTATTAATTTTCCCCAACTAGTGACTGAGAATGTTTTGGCGATACTAAATTAATGTTTTCTCTTTCTCTCTTTTTGTTTGGAAATCTCTAGGCCACACGTCAACAACTGGAACGTTTGCCAAGACGTGCCCATCCATTGGTCTCATCATCGAATTCAAATGCAACCATGGCCGAGGTGATTAGTGGTGCTAGCGGTGGAGGTTCGGGATCTGGCAGTGGTCTAATCAGTGGTAGCGGCTCTGGCTCAAATGCCAATGGTGGCGGCAGTGGCTCATCGCGTACCAATGAATGGTCGGTGTCGGCCCAGCATCAGTCGGCGCAATCAAGTCTGGCTGCAAGTGCTTTAAATACCAGAGAAGTACCGTTGAATTCTAGCAATTATTTGTCTTTCAACGATTTCGGTTTGTCACCACAATATTCCTCCTTTCTACAGCCTGGTGGCAGTGGAATCGGTGGTAGCAACGGGAACAGCATGCTGGGCATGTCAATTGCTGGTGGTTCAGGCAGTGGAGCAAATGCTGGTTCAGCTGCTGGTGGGGCATCGGGTAATGGCAGCGGTGGTGGAGCTGATGGTGGTGCCCAATCACAGTTCTTGCTCACAAAATTCATGCAACCAACACTGAGTGAAGCCGAATGGGCTGAAATTGGTAGAGAACGTGCTGATCGGTGAGTTTACGCTATTAAAAAATTATATAATTAAAATTGTATACCACATACAACGGAGTGTTATGGGAAGGGAATTAGATAGAAACTATACATAGAAGAAATACTTTCCCAAATCGTTATATACGGGACGTACATATACGTCCATGTTTTTTTTAACAAAGTAATGGACACATTTATTTTCCAATTGCAAAGAAATTTGGTACGGCACATTAAATTGGAACACTATTGGCATTAACGTATTCCCAAGTTTAGATTATATTTTACGTCAACGACGTAGCACAATTGATACGAAATTTTCCAGACCATATCGAACTGTGTCTACAATGACGTGTACTGAGTTTTATTAACCCAAGGCCAAAAAATAATTATGTCAACCGATTTCATGAAAATGGCACATCCACAAATCACAACGCTTCTCGGATTGTGATGAGTTTTTTTGAATCGTTTTTTTTGAAGCTTTCATATATACTTTTCCGTTCGGTTACTTGTAATTTTCCATAGCGTGCTCTGAATTATGTCTAGAATAATGTGGTTTTGTCAAAAATGGTCCAAATTGAAATATTAAATATTGAAATATTAAGTTTTATTTAAATCGATTCGGTTTTCGATAGAGCTCCCATACATAATTTACGATTTCATGTAAATGGCGCGGCCAGGACCCCTCTTGTATTCGATTAATATGAAATTTTCCATAGCGTGCTGAATTATGTCTAGAATGATATTTGTCCTGATTGTTTTGTGGTTTGGATAGCATATCATATAGTCGGTCCCGACACTTTGTTCCTTTTATATATGCACGATTTTTATTTACGTGTCCTTAAATGTTCTTCTTCTTGTTTTTGCTTTTGCACAGATCACAATTTGTACAAGCCTTATTGCTCTCAACATTAGCTTGTAACTCATTGGACCTGGATCCCGAACATGATAAACGTGGCGAATCCCAGGAAACTACCAATAGTGATAATGTAAATAATGAAAAGGCAGCATCAGCGGCAGCCGCCAATAACACAAACACAGCCAATGACAGTGAATCGTCGTCGTCGTATGGTGACAATACGCGAGAAACAATGATGAACAACAATGCTGCAGATGCGTCTGCACAAACTACAAATACAACAAGCAGTGTTGGTGGCGGCGGTGGCACGTTACGCCAACAGGTCCATCAACAGCAACAAACCTCGCCGGAAGATTTTGTTGTTGATGATTTGAAACAGCAGCAACAACAGCAGGCCTATTCAAGTAAAAAGAAATCGGCAACGGCTGGCGGTATTAAAGCAGCTGCGGCTGGGGCAACAACAGATAGAGGCATTGAACGACGTGGTCGTCCACCACCCACAGTGGCGGCGGGTGCTGCTGCTGCAGCGGCTGCTACCGGATCACAGTCGCAGCAGCAACAACAACAGCAGCAGCAACAAGGTCAACAGCCACAAAAATATAAGCAAAATGCTGCCGCCAATGCAGCAGCGATGTCGGCAGCAAACACAAATCAAATACCCGATACTAGGTAGTGTTATCATCTCCATAGACCCGCCAAATCACTACAGCAACAACAACAGCAGCAGCATTGTTATTATAATTGTATTCAGAAATGTAATAGCAACAGCCAGGAGCAGCAGCATCAACAGCAGCCGAAGAAAAAGAATAACATCCAAGATCATCATTGTCGTCGTCGTCGCAATTATAAAAATCACCATTCTTAGCAACCAATTAACTAACCAACCACCAACAATAACAACAACAACATCACCACACGTACCCTACAGACAAACAACAACACCTTCGCACACGCCGCCGCAAAACAACAGCACCATCAACAAACCAAATTTATATATAAATGTGGACTATATTATGATGGTGACTGACATTTGATTGGATGGCCGGTCAATCAAGGATTGGCATGCCAACAAAAAAACCAAAAAAGCAAAAATCTACTGTCCCTATTATTTACTTTTACTTCAGCACATAAATGTCACTGTCTCTCTCTGTATTTTGCATTTTATGTAGTAAACTAACAAAAGAGAAACAACAGCGTGTGATGCCATCCACTTCTCTCTCCCACTATCCACCAACAAATAACATTCATTGTCCTACTCTTCTGTCAATAATTGTTTGTTTTCAATTGGAACATGCGAACCTGAGCAGCAGCAACAAAGTTAAGTCACGGCATGACATGTGTGAATGGCGAATGTCAATCGCTCGATCGATCCAGTTGAGATTGATGTGGCATATGTGTGTGTGTTTATATGATGTATATGATTTCCAAATGTTGCTGATGATGATGACGATGATCATGCAAACAAAAAGAAAAACAACAACAAAAAAGTATGATGGAATTTTATAGGTGTTAGCATGTGCATGCACAGCAAAGCAGCAGTTGCAAACAACAACAAAACAAAAAAGAAACAACAACAACATAATATTCGTTTATTAAAATAAATATAATATTATAACTATTTAAAAATTTATATAATTATAAAAAACCACAAAAAAGAAAAAAATCTTATTGTAATCATAACTTCAAAAAAAAAAAAAAAAAACATGAATTGTTGTTGTTATTATTAATGTTTTGGGTGAGGGAGGATATTATGAAAAAACGAAGTCCAATGGTCTGATTATCCTTAAAAAAAAGGATAGTTTGATAAATCAAGGAAATGTATTCTTAAAGATCTATGGCAGGAGCTGCGAAAAAAAATACTTAGAAAATATTCTTTTAAAACAATTATGGTGACGATAAATCATTCAAATTTTTTTAAATCCCAATCAAAAGGTATTTATTAATATTTATTTATTCCAAAAAATGCCGATTTATTTATTCCATTAAGGCCGATTTCAAATAAATTGCAAACTATACTACTCCATGTAGCATTGATTTCTTAATAATATAATACAAAAAAATATTTACAAATTCAAATTTAGAGAAGTGCCGTGAATTCTAGCAATTATTTGTCTTTTAATTCTTTCGGTTATTGGTCCTTTCTATAGCCTGGTAGCAGTGGAATCGGTGATATCAACGGGAATAGCATGCTGGGCATTTCCAGCCCATCTACTATATATATATCTATAAAGACTCCCTTCAACTCGTCTATGAAGACTCCTATAAAGACTATAAAGACTTCCCTTCAGCTCGTCTATAAAGACTTCCCTTCAGCTCGTCTATAAAGACTCCCTTCAGCTCGTCTATAAAGACTCCCTTCAGCTCGTCTATAAAGACTCCCTTCAGCTCGTCTATAAAGACTCCCTTCAGCTCGTCTATAAAGACTCCCTTCAGCTCGTCTATAAAGACTCCCTTCAGCTCGTCTATAAAGACTCCCTTCAGCTCGTCTATAAAGACTCCCTTCAGCTCGTCTATAAAGACTCCCTTCAGCTCGTCTATAAAGACTCCCTTCAGCTCGTCTATAAAGACTCCCTTCAGCTCGTCTATAAAGACTCCCTTTCAGCTCGTCTATAAAGACTCCCTTCAGCTCGTCTATAAAGACTCCCTTTCAGCTCGTCTATAAAGACTCCCTTCAGCTCGTCTATAAAGACTCCCTTCAGCTCGTCTATAAAGACTCCCTTCAGCTCGTCTATAAAGACTCCCTTCAGCTCGTCTATAAAGACTCCCTTCAGCTCGTCTATAAAGACTCCCTTCAGCTCGTCTATAAAGACTCCCTTCAGCTCGTCTATAAAGACTCCCTTCAGCTCGTCTATAAAGACTCCCTTCAGCTCGTCTATAAAGACTCCCTTCAGCTCGTCTATAAAGACTCCCTTCAGCTCGTCTATAAAGACTCCCTTCAGCTCGTCTATAAAGACTCCCTTAAGCTCGTCTATAAAGACTCCCTTAAGCTCGTCTATAAAGACTCCCTTAAGCTCGTCTATAAAGACTCCCTTCAGCTCGTCTATGAAGACTCCCTTCAGCTCGTCTATAAAGACTCCCTTCAGGTCTTTAAGAGATTCCTTTCAGATACTCTAAAAAGACTCATTTTAGCTCGACTATAAGGACTCCCTACAGCTAGTGTATACGACTTTTTCAGTTCGTTATTCACAACTTCCATTTTCGTTACAATAATTAAAAATCCATAATATTCTAAACATAAAATTATATTTCTATTTCAATGAAATACATATGCATATGTATGTATTTAACTACATACTACATTGATTATTCATATCTTAACATTCCTTTCTATATTAACGATATACTTGGTACATCTTGTAAATCATCCAATGTCATAACGGCCTGATGCAGGCAAAAATAATTCTCAATGCATCCTTTGATAATGGATTCATCTATAAAGAAAAAAATATTTCTATAAAAAAAACATAATTATGTACTTGTTTACAATTTTTAATTACCTGGATATTGATTTTCCATGATTATAGAACGTGCTATATGTCTGGCTAGCTTCTTGAAAACAAAACGATTACCGATTAGGCCATGTCGCATTGGTATCATCAAATGTTTCACCACCCAGGGTGATATACGTTTAACACAGCTGCCCATTAGTATATCATCCAGCTCAATACTAGGACTGCAGGGTGTAAATTCATCATCACTATCATCGCCAAATAATTCCGTAAATTTCCATTTCATAATTTCGTGCCAGCGCAAATCTTCTTCCAGCAAACGGGCCAAAGATTCGCTTAGTTTACGTTTTTGCATAAATAATTCACATGGCCAAAGACTATTGCTAAGATCCTTTTCACAAATTTTACTACCACCCCCACTAACACTACATGTGGCAATTGCAGGATGTGTAGGTGTTTCTTGTTCTGTAGGCTTATCATCATTAATAAGTAAACACAATTTTGGACTGTGATTGTTTGCTTTATCAAAGTTAGGAGTTTGTTGTTGTTTTCCACCCACCTGAGCCAGCTCAATTTCTTTTAATATTTTACATATTTGTGGATCATCGGGTTCTTGATTCGGATCAATGCCAAATATTTCATCCAATTCGGTTTTTTCCTCGCTAAATAATCTGGCCAATTCCAAGGCAACACTGTCATTGGAATTTTCCATATCGGCAACAACATCATCATCGATAGATTTTGTTAAACCAATTTCATTATTTTCATTTACAGCTTCGGGGATTTGTTGTAATTGTTGTGGAGATGTTTCAGGACGGTCGCTCGATCGATCCAGTTGAGATTGATGTGGCATATGTGTGTGTGTTTATATGATGTATATGATTTCCAAATGTTGCTGATGATGATGACGATGATCATGCAAACAAAAAGAAAAACAACAACAAAAAAGTATGATGGAATTTTATAGGTGTTAGCATGTGCATGCACAGCAAAGCAGCAGTTGCAAACAACAACAAAACAAAAAAGAAACAACAACAACATAATATTCGTTTATTAAAATAAATATAATATTATAACTATTTAAAAATTTATATAATTATAAAAAACCACAAAAAAGAAAAAAATCTTATTTTAATCATAACTTCAAAAAAAAAAAAAAAAAACATGAATTGTTGTTGTTATTATTAATGTTTTGGGTGAGGGAGGATATTATGAAAAAACGAAGTCCAATGGTCTGATTATCCTTAAAAAAAAGGATAGTTTGATAAATCAAGGAAATGTATTCTTAAAGATCTATGGCAGGAGCTGCGAAAAAAAATACTTAGAAAATATTCTTTTAAAACAATTATGGTGACGATAAATCATTCAAATTTTTTTAAATCCCAATCAAAAGGTATTTATTAATATTTATTTATTCCAAAAAATGCCGATTTATTTATTCCATTAAGGCCGATTTCAAATAAATTGCAAACTATACTACTCCATGTAGCATTGATTTCTTAATAATATAATACAAAAAAATATTTACAAATTCAAATTTAGAGAAGTGCCGTGAATTCTAGCAATTATTTGTCTTTTAATTCTTTCGGTTATTGGTCCTTTCTATAGCCTGGTAGCAGTGGAATCGGTGATATCAACGGGAATAGCATGCTGGGCATTTCCAGCCCATCTACTATATATATATCTATAAAGACTCCCTTCAACTCGTCTATGAAGACTCCTATAAAGACTATAAAGACTTCCCTTCAGCTCGTCTATAAAGACTTCCCTTCAGCTCGTCTATAAAGACTCCCTTCAGCTCGTCTATAAAGACTCCCTTCAGCTCGTCTATAAAGACTCCCTTCAGCTCGTCTATAAAGACTCCCTTCAGCTCGTCTATAAAGACTCCCTTCAGCTCGTCTATAAAGACTCCCTTCAGCTCGTCTATAAAGACTCCCTTCAGCTCGTCTATAAAGACTCCCTTCAGCTCGTCTATAAAGACTCCCTTCAGCTCGTCTATAAAGACTCCCTTCAGCTCGTCTATAAAGACTCCCTTCAGCTCGTCTATAAAGACTCCCTTTCAGCTCGTCTATAAAGACTCCCTTCAGCTCGTCTATAAAGACTCCCTTTCAGCTCGTCTATAAAGACTCCCTTCAGCTCGTCTATAAAGACTCCCTTCAGCTCGTCTATAAAGACTCCCTTCAGCTCGTCTATAAAGACTCCCTTCAGCTCGTCTATAAAGACTCCCTTCAGCTCGTCTATAAAGACTCCCTTCAGCTCGTCTATAAAGACTCCCTTCAGCTCGTCTATAAAGACTCCCTTCAGCTCGTCTATAAAGACTCCCTTCAGCTCGTCTATAAAGACTCCCTTCAGCTCGTCTATAAAGACTCCCTTCAGCTCGTCTATAAAGACTCCCTTCAGCTCGTCTATAAAGACTCCCTTAAGCTCGTCTATAAAGACTCCCTTAAGCTCGTCTATAAAGACTCCCTTAAGCTCGTCTATAAAGACTCCCTTCAGCTCGTCTATGAAGACTCCCTTCAGCTCGTCTATAAAGACTCCCTTCAGGTCTTTAAGAGATTCCTTTCAGATACTCTAAAAAGACTCATTTTAGCTCGACTATAAGGACTCCCTACAGCTAGTGTATACGACTTTTTCAGTTCGTTATTCACAACTTCCATTTTCGTTACAATAATTAAAAATCCATAATATTCTAAACATAAAATTATATTTCTATTTCAATGAAATACATATGCATATGTATGTATTTAACTACATACTACATTGATTATTCATATCTTAACATTCCTTTCTATATTAACGATATACTTGGTACATCTTGTAAATCATCCAATGTCATAACGGCCTGATGCAGGCAAAAATAATTCTCAATGCATCCTTTGATAATGGATTCATCTATAAAGAAAAAAATATTTCTATAAAAAAAACATAATTATGTACTTGTTTACAATTTTTAATTACCTGGATATTGATTTTCCATGATTATAGAACGTGCTATATGTCTGGCTAGCTTCTTGAAAACAAAACGATTACCGATTAGGCCATGTCGCATTGGTATCATCAAATGTTTCACCACCCAGGGTGATATACGTTTAACACAGCTGCCCATTAGTATATCATCCAGCTCAATACTAGGACTGCAGGGTGTAAATTCATCATCACTATCATCGCCAAATAATTCCGTAAATTTCCATTTCATAATTTCGTGCCAGCGCAAATCTTCTTCCAGCAAACGGGCCAAAGATTCGCTTAGTTTACGTTTTTGCATAAATAATTCACATGGCCAAAGACTATTGCTAAGATCCTTTTCACAAATTTTACTACCACCCCCACTAACACTACATGTGGCAATTGCAGGATGTGTAGGTGTTTCTTGTTCTGTAGGCTTATCATCATTAATAAGTAAACACAATTTTGGACTGTGATTGTTTGCTTTATCAAAGTTAGGAGTTTGTTGTTGTTTTCCACCCACCTGAGCCAGCTCAATTTCTTTTAATATTTTACATATTTGTGGATCATCGGGTTCTTGATTCGGATCAATGCCAAATATTTCATCCAATTCGGTTTTTTCCTCGCTAAATAATCTGGCCAATTCCAAGGCAACACTGTCATTGGAATTTTCCATATCGGCAACAACATCATCATCGATAGATTTTGTTAAACCAATTTCATTATTTTCATTTACAGCTTCGGGGATTTGTTGTAATTGTTGTGGAGATGTTTCAGGACGGTCAGGATGTGTTTGCAATAGAGGACTTATGTGTTCTTTTCCTAAAACTTGATGATTAGTATTTTCCTTATACGGCCGATGATGGTAATGATGTCGTCGTCTTTGATGATGTTGTTGTTGCTGTTGTTTATCACATTTGTGTGATTCTTTTTTGCGAAGATGATGATGAGGATGACGATCTTTTTTTGTCGATAATGAACTTTTGTTGTCCAGCTTCTTCTTATTGCCATGTTTTGTAATATCAATAGCTGTGGTAATGTGTCCATTGTGTAAATGTCGTTTAAATATTTCAATTTTTTCATCCAGTGTCATTTCATAGTTGTCATCTTCAGTCGATTGAGTGATTCTTTCGTGATCATTAAGGTTAGGTTTCTGTTTTTCATTATTGTGATTTATGGTTTCTCGACAATTTCGATCTATAAAAATTCCATCTTCAGTTTGTGTACCTTTGGTTTGTGGCTCATTCAGTTCAAAGTTTAATATTGACTCTTCGAGGGGCTTTAGCAGGCGTTGTTCTTCGGTTGAACGTCGCACAATACGAATCTAAGGGAATAGAGAGAGAGCCGATATATAAGATATTAAATATTTTTTAATTGATTCTGCCCTTTGTAAAGATCTAAAAAGGAGTCTTCATAGGCTCCTATAAAGGAGTCTGTATTTGCACCTATAAAGAAGTCTTTATAGGCTCCTATAAAGGAGTCTTTATAGGCTCCTATAAAGGAGTTTTTATAGGCTCCTATAAAGGAGTCTTTATAGACTCCTATAAAGAAGTTTTTATAGGCTCCTATAAAGGAGTCTTTATAGGCTCCTATAAAGGAGTCTTTATAGGCTCCTATAAATAATTCTTTATAGGCTCCTATAAATAAGTCTTTATAGGCTCCTATAAAGGAGTCTTTATAGGCTCCTATAAATAATTCTTTATAGGCTCCTATAAAGGAGTCTTTATAGGCTCCTATAAAGGAGTCTTTATAGGCTCCTATAAAGGAGTTTTTATAGGCTCCTATAAAGAAGTCTTTATAGGCTCCTATATAGGGGGGTCTTTATAGGGGTCTTTATAGGCTCCTATAAAGGAGTCTTTATAGGCTCCTATAAATGAGTCTTTATAGGCTCCTATAAAGGAGTCTGTATAGGCTCCAATAAGGAGTCTTTATAGGCTCCTATAAAGGAGTCTGTATAGGCTCCAATAAAGGAGTCTTTATAGGCTCCAATAAAGGAGTCTTTATAGGCTCCTATAAATAAGTCTTTATAGGCTCCTATAAAGGAGTCTTTATAGGCTCCTATAAAGGAGTCTTTAAAGGCTCAAATCAAGGAGTCTTTAAAAGATCCTATAGAGCAGTTTGTATTATCGTATAAAGAAGTTTTTAAAGGCTGATATAAACAGGGCTTGTGGGATCCCATAGAATATTCCTTGTAGACTTCTATATAGTAGTCTTTGTAGACTCCCATTAAGGAGATTTAAAACTGCATAATGTAAACTTTATGGAAGCGATATTTATAGACTCGCTCTTGGTGCTATTTACTTTCTGTATACTCACTATTTTTCCCATAGCCCTTTGATATCTCAATGATATACGACACGCTTCCACAGCCTTATCTTCCAGCAAATGTGCAGTCTTTTTGATTGATTTTTTATATTTTTCCGCGAATTCTCCATTCGGCGTATTTTCATCTATCACAAAATTCTGATTATAATAGCATTTTTGGAAATTCTCCATAAGCTGGCGTTCGAGGTAGTTAAAATAATGGTTTCTTACCTAATCAAACAACAACGACAACAAACTATTTATTAAAATAACCTGGAGAGCAATTTTTGTTCGGTTACTTACCATTTCTGTTAAAATTGGAATATCTGGATCCTCCTCCTCATGACAAAGTAAGTTTTTTATATCAAAATCATCAGCAGTTTCCAGGTATGGGATTTCCTTTTCAATTTCCATAATGATTGTTGTTGGTGCGGATAGATTCCGAGGAATCCTGAGAATCCTAACAAGAATTACAACAAAATGTAAACAAATAATCCCCTAGTTAGAATTTGCAAAAAAGGATTACAGCTTAATGATTGATGTGTGGCATATATGAATCTACATTTAAAATCGTAATCTCATAAAGCTAAGAATTTGTCTTGTTTATAAACAAAAATATATTTTTTATTTAAGGTTTTATAAAAATTTTAATAACAATAGTTCTTTTAAATAGTTTAATTAATTGTGAATTTTAATCAATTATGTGTAATTTTGACACTTGTCATACAGCATCAATTTAGAAGCCACTTGCAAGTATTATACAGTGTTGTATTTGCAAGGAATGAATAAAAGAGAACAACATTGAAAGAACAAATGACCCAGTAGGAAAAGGAACTATTTTGATTATTTTTTTAAATATTGAAATAAATTACAGGAATTAAAGAATTATATTAGTTGAAAATATTTCAAAAGCTCTTTATTTATATAATTTTTAATATAAATTTTTATTTAATTTGTAAACTTAGTACCATGAAAATACCAAACATTTGGCGGGATCCTAATATGGTGGAGTTATAACATGGAAAAACAGTTGCAAAAATTATCCATTTATAGATTGATTATTTTGGAAAAAAAGAATTTGTTGTCCAAAATATTGAAAATATTTGTGCCCGGCGTATACGAAAGAGTCGGATTAAATAGTTGCTGAATCGCAAATTAGTTTGAAATATGAAGATACATATGAAAGTGGACGTAAATCCACACGTAAGGTGAAAGCCTTATCCCAGCGTCGTTAAAGTTCATTGTTTGATCAAAAGGAAGTATCATCTGCCGCCATGAAGGAGTCCAGTTTTGATAAAGGACATAAAGCGGAAAAACTAATCAATGTAGTATTTTATATTTGCTAATACGTTTCAAGAATGTGGGTTAACCAAAAATAGTGTCAGCCACAGGGACAAACATAAAAATATCATCAATGGTTATCAAATTCTATGAGGAACTTATGTTACTATCGGAGAATATGGAATGAGGGAACTGAATTCCGAAGGAGTGAGTTTTTGTATTGAACTAAGTTTTACTTTTCATTTTTTTTTTATTTATATAAAAATAGCTTAAATTAATTAATAAATTACTGACAAAAAATTATTGTTGCATACGATTTTCGTCTTCGCCATAGATTTCATTGTATTTTGCCACAAATACACTAGTGGGCTTCTTGAGAATCTAAAAAAACATTTCAAATTAAATGAAATAATACAAAAAAAAAAAAGAAATATGTAACTACCTTTGCTGTCGATTCAAAAACTAGCTTTTTATCGAACTCAATGTGAGCTCTATGACCCCAGGTATAGAAAAATCTACAAATATATACCATATGAACATCAAAAATTTGTATTGGAAAATTAGCTTTCTCTTACTTTGTTTCGGCATCCATATCGGATATAACTTTATCCCTTTTCAAATAGAGCTGTTTGACAAAAGTCTCAGTTAAGAGTTTTTTCACATTGGCTCCAAAATATTCATGGCAGCTATCCAAAGAAATACGCAAACCACTAAGAAAATTAATTAAGTCCTCTACGAAAGAAAAAAAATTAAAATTGTAATTAAAATTCCCACGTATAAATAAAAATACCTTCAGTTGTGTGGTGTTTATCTGGGGAATCGGAACCCCGCATAAATAAATATGATAAAACAATAAATAACAACGTCAATTGTTGCAGTTGTTCTTCATCATATAATAGCTGACATTTAGCCGTATCTTCATTATAGCATATAAAGGCTTTTCCACTCCTGGTGTCAGGTACCTCGGCCAGGCAAATTCCATAGGTCTACAATATATAAATAAAATTTAAAAAAAGAAACAAATTTGCATTTCAAAAGTTCGTGTTTACCTCTTGCAAAACTAATTTTGCCTGCTGGAAGGCCATATTAAACATTTTCCCCTTGATATTAAGAGCCGTACACATATCTTTCTCCTTCATGGGAAGCTTACATGATATGCCGTTGAGTATATATGTTATAATTTCATTACGGTGACCTGCAACTTCACCAACATCGAATCCTGTTTCCATTTTGGCAAAATGTGTTCTTATTGTTTAAATATGCTCTGCGTATTATTATATGGGTGTGTTTGTTCGCGCCATGGACCATCAGCCTGTGGGCTTGGCCTATTATGTTTAAAAGGAATGTCTTGTATATAACCAGCTTTCGTTGTTTTTATTTATGCGCTTTCCTAGATTGTCCTTTTAATTCCATTGAGTGCGCCGTTCCAATTGCAACGACTAGATGGAGGAAGGAGAAAGATGGATTGTTTAGAAAGAGACTTGGACGGATGGTAATGGTTCAAAAGGAAGTGCGTTAACTAGTAGCCGCTCCGTTCGCTGAAAGAAATTAACCTATTTAATTTAAACACGTTCCACGTTCCAAGAACCAATAATGAAATTGACCTACCTAATTTAAAAACGTTCCACTCTCTGGGAATGGGGGTGAACACAGAAATTGACTGAAACGAACCTACTTAATTCAAAAACGTTCCTCTTTCATTTTTTAATGGAAACCGTTATGGTTTAGTAATGTAAAACTAATTTTCTTTGAAATGTATTTAAATTAGGTAAAATAAAAGCGGATTTACATATCAGGGTTTATTTGGTTAATCCGGCGAATTGACCATAATTTATCATACAAATACTACTGCATTTTTGTACGAAAAAAATACAACTCCCTCACAAAGTACCAATATTTGGAACTGTTTTCGTTTATTTTTAAATTTGACCGTTGCCAAATACAGAAATGAAAGAAGAAAATAAACATTATTCATAGAATTTATGTGTTTTTAGATGATTTTTTTACTTTTCAAACGATCATAGTATTGCAAAAACATTTCCACTGTTGTAATTTTTCTTTTCATTTTCAAATTGCAAACTAATATTTTTGGCGCAAATTAGTAAATTTGTATGTATACTAACAAACATCAGCTGATCGACATTTAGATTATGATTGAAGGTATGTGTAAGCAATTAGTGTGTATTTTTGGATTTCGTTAATCGATGGTGACATGGTAGAGTAATACAAGGTAGGGCAGCTTGAGGTGAGTATCAAAAAATATAAAAAACATGTCAAATTTAAAAAAAAATATACACAAGTGGTTGTGTTTATTTCACAGTTTTTCAAAAAATAAAAATGCGAAAAATGAATGAAAGATTATGATTTCTTCCCAAAATTCAGTAGGAAACACCATGACATGTTTGTTTCATCCATATCAAAGTAATTACATTTAGAAGAACAGCATAAAAATAATTAAATTTTAATTAAAAAAATCGATAACAATTTCAATTAATAATCTTGCAGGTTCTGGGACATAGGAATATTTTTACAGAATAAATTAAAAGTATACCCCTTTCTTGTGGCTAAATCGAAATACCTGTTCTTGAACCTGCCAGAACATAGATTTTTTTTGCTACAGTAAATCAATTATTATTTATAATATAAAAATTATAAAATTCTTGTAGTACTGTTAACGGAATGCAATTATTATGTTATAAGGTACATTGCAAACTAGCTGCGATATAACAAATCTCGTTATAACGCATTTATTGGTCTGTTTATTGGTCTACTCGATTTTACTATTTTCTTCGATATCATAAAGGAAAATTCGTTATCGTAGTAAAAAATAGTAGATTCTTGCAGTACGGGAACAGACCATATGTTTACCATATACTTGTTTTATGAAACAATTTGATGTGTGGCCATATGTCATCTACCATCAAATAATATGTAATCGATAACACAAACATCTAGAAAAAATAACTCGTAATTGGTATTGTGTCATCATCGATTACTTTAAATTACCGACTACTACCCGACAGTTTAGCATTAACACTTTTAGTTGGCGTTTTATCGGCTGTTGTGCATTAATTCTTCTATTCGAAATTAGAGAGTTTTTTATTGAATATATTTTCGTTTAAATATTATCCAAACACATACGTATTTTTTATTGATACAAATAACATTGTTATTGCTTCAAACAAATAAACTACGTGTTCCATAACGACGGGTGAAACAAAAGTGTGAACTAGCAAATAAAAAAAGGAATATTCCGTGCCTGCTGTAGTTGTGTTTGTGTATGAGTAGAAGTTGTTTCAATACAATCAAAACTACCTACGATTTTTTTCATTTGTTCATTTCTCGCGTGAATATCAAAAGTAGAAGTGTGTTGTAGTAGAGTGTGCTTTGGCAAGGAACAAATATAAGAAAAAAAAAGAAGAAACAAAGTTTTGGATATTTGTCCTAAAACCACAAAGCATTAAAATCAATAAATCGTAATAAAAAAAGAAAGAAACAAAACCAAAATAAGAAAACATGTCTGAAGTTGTTGAAAATATTGATGAACAACAGCAAAATAGCGCGCCATCAACAGAAGCTGCAGCGCAGTCGACTGAGGCGACCACTGAAGTTACAAAACAAGTTGAAGCTGCCGATGAGACTCCCGCTCAAAGTGACACCACCACAAAGGAGGTGGTGGAGAAGGAGGATGCTACTACCAAAACACCAGATGCTGATGTGGAATCTTCAGCAAAACCGGCCGAGTCATCATCTTCATCGTCACCCATAGTGGAGAACAAAAAGACACCCGTAAGTGCCAGTTGTTTGTTTGTATATTTGTTGTTGACGTTCTCATCTTCGGTAATTTGTGTGTAGTCAGTTCGATAAGTACAAACGACAAAGCGCATATAAAGATTCGTCGTCGTATTGTCCAATTAACAAGGTTGCGCGATAAAGCTTACCTCGTTTCTGTTATAGACTCGTCATTTACTCGTGTTACTTGTTTTTTTTTTTCTTCTTTCGATTTTGTTTAAATATTGCTTTTATTATATTCGGGAGATTGTGGTGTTTAGTACACGAAGTAGAAATAAAAAAAAAAAAAACAAAAACAGCGATTTACTGAGAGATTAATGAAGCTCTCATGAGCAGCTCCAGCGCTGCTGCTGTTGACAGAATTTTTCCCGCGTGTTTTTTCATTTCCTTAGAGAATGGAACACTCTGGAAATGAAAGCATGCAATGAATTTCATTACATTTTGTCAGCACAATAGAAATTAGCAACAATAAAAATGGCAAATGCATAACACAAATATTTTCAAACAACATATTTTCCAAAAAATTGTGCCTACCCATTGGGCATTGTTATAATTGATTGCCATAATGGCAGCATAGCTAGCTCTACTGGTAAATGTTGCCCGCTTTTCCATTTTTTTTGTTTTAGTTATTTTTTATGAGAGATTTACATGAATCTTTGCTTGTGGTCTTGTCTGTTTCTCGTCCACATGTAACATCTTACCAATACATTCGACTACCCTATTTCATGGCAGTCAGTCATTCACATCTGTATATATCAAAACACCCGCCACCTCTAGCACCACACACCACATTTAGCCATCTTCCATCGTGACTGTATTTTTTCTGTTATTTTGGTTCTCTCTTGATCATAGGTGCCCATCAGTATACTTTAAAGTAGCTGCCTACTCACACGCATTGTTATGCTCTTTCAGTCAGTCGTTGTTTGACAGGCAACGAATGAACACATGCAGGGGTGCGCGCACGACGTCTTGTCCGCAGAACTAGAAAATCAACGAAATAACACTTAGGGATAAAAGTGTTTCAGTATATTTCGATTTTTATTTTATTATTCAAAATGCGTTTTGTATGTTTAAAAAATTTTAAAAACAACAGAACAATTTCTGTTTTTTTAAAGAATTAAATATTTGATAATTATCGTAGTATTTAATATTATTATTTAATATTATAATATGATTATTATCTCGGTATATGCTACTTTATAAACTTTATTAGATTTTTATGATTCATATAAAAACATTTTTAATAATGCTTTTATTTTATATAATAACAAAAATTAAATTCATCAATAATTTTTTCCGACCACAAAAATGTACACACAATTTTGTTCAGTACTGTTCTGTTTTCTCTCACACATACTAACGCATTTTAATTTTGGGCACCTATGCTCTTGATGTTGTTCAAGTTTCTGGTTTATTGGTGGTTTGTGTATTTGTACAACATTATATTTACATTTTTGTTTTTAGTTCGATTCGCCGTGTTGCCGGCCAGCCAAACCAAATGTATTTGATTTTGTTTTGTTGTATTTATGTATGCATGCACGCGCTAGCATGTGTGTGTGTGTTTCACATATTTTTTCCCTTTTGTGTTCTCAATGTTGTTTTTATTATGACGCCGCCGCTAACATTATTGCTATTGACGACGTCGTTATCAGTCATCCCATTTTTTTCTTTCAAAAGTTATTTGTTTTTATTTCATTGTTTTGTTCCAATTCTTGTTTCATTCGTTAGATTTGTTTTCCATTGTATTATGGTGTGTGTGTACGTGCGTTTCTTTTTTCCTATGTGTTTTGTGTTTGCTGTACTTTGTTTTTACATGTTGCGCTCGTGTTTTTTTTGTTGTGTTGTGTTTCTCTTCTACTTCGTTGGTTGGGCTGAAATGTAACGTTGTCTCACATGGTTGTTGGTTGTTGTTGGAAGGGAGGAGGAGAGGAGGGATTGTACGCAAGAGATGTAACATTTAGCCGCCGTTATTATTTCAAATGAATGACACCTACCTTACACAAGAGCAATGAGAAGAAGAGATGCCACATGTAATGTGTTTGACATATGCAATTCAAAGTGCATTGATAGCAAGCTTTGCTAAGCCTTTTTGAGGCTGTTGCAAATATGTATAGGGAAATTAAAACAATTTTTTGCAAACATTTGATGTAAGTCAATTGTAAAACATAAAAAACAAGGGAGAAAGAACCATAAATAATGATGAGAAAGGAGGAGGAGAGGAGGGATAGTAAGCAAGAGATGTAACATGTAGCCGCCGTTAATATTTCAAATGAATGATACCTACCTTACACAAGAGCGATGAGAAGAGATGCCACATGTGATGGCTTTGACATATGCAATGTAAAGTGCATTGATAGCCAGCCTTTGATAAGCCTTTTCGAGGCTGTTGCAAAAATGAAAAGGGAAATTAACAAAGATTTGATGTAATTCAATTGTAAAACTTCAAAAATAAAAAATAAGAGAGAAAACAATAAATAATGATGAGCAAGAATATTAATGAGGAATTACATTAATGAGAGCCAGATATGCCACAGAGCATTTAACATATGTGCACAATGTAAAGTGCATTGATAGCCTTGTTTACGACTTTGAGACTGTTAGCAAACATTTATTAAAAAATAAACTTTTTATTTGCAAAATTTAATGAAATTCTATTAAAAATTAAAAAAAATGAGAGCTTTAAACAATGAAGGGGAAATTGATGAGAAATGAAATGATATAAAACAATTTATAAAAGTAAACAAATTACTTGTGTATTCCCTCCGACCTCCACCCTTCCACTCCGCCTCATTTTTATTTAAAAAAAATGCAACAGGTGTTTCAATGTAACTTGTTTGAATATACATAATGTTTGTTTTTTTTTATTATTGTTGTTGTTGTTTAAATTTGTTTAGAGAATATATGTATGCCAGAAATGTATGTCATATACACTCTATGTAGATAGATACATGTTTTTTTTATTAACGATTACTAATGCTGAATACTAATAATAACTAATCATTTTAGTGTGTATTAACCAAAAAAACAACGTATGTATCTATATTGTTGTTGTTGTCTTTAATGATTTGTTTGTTTTTTTTTTTAGTTAGTAATTATTATAATAAGTAGTACACGGTATGGATTATACATATGAGAGCTTAATGTTGTTCGTTTTTTGGTTTTCAATATCAATTAAATATACAATAAAATTAGAATAGAATAACACATATAACATTTTATTTCTTTTTTTTTTGTAAGGAGAGAATATTTAAATGTAAATATTTTTCTTTTTTTAAAAGAAGGAAACATTTTTTTTTTGAATTTTTTGTAAAGGAATTATTTTTTCCTCCATCTCAAAAAGATAATTTGTCTCCAAAAAGATGTAATTTTTTTATAATATCTGTTCGGTTTTTGTTGCTGTTGTTGCTTTATAGAATAGGCGTAACATTATCTCTGTAAAGAAAAAAAAATGATTGGGGGAATAAATTATTTTTTATGTTATTTGTATATGCAATTACATAATTAAATTGTATATTTTTTTATCATTTTTATAATGTTCCTATAATTGCTATATTTATTATGTATATTTTTTTATTATTTTATAAAATTAAAATACAATTTATATTTTATAAAATAAAAAAAAAATAAAAACATTTTAAAATTCAATGAAAAAATTTAAAAGTATTTTTATTTATTATTCGAATAACATAAATTATATTTCAATAATTGGTCTTTTCCACAACCTGCAAGAATGTACAATTTTTTACTACGATAACAATTTTTTGTTTATGATATCGAAAAAATAGTAAAAATTAGTAGATTCTTGTTCCCGACCATAGTTATTTTTTAAAATTGTTAGATTTTAAATTTTTAAAGAATTTTTATTCGTTCAATCATTTTAAGTATTTAATTTTTGAAATTTTCATAATTATTAAACTTTTTATTCATTAAATGTTAAGAACATTATGAAAATTTTTATATCAAAATTAAAAAAAAAAATGAATTTAAGAACTTCATAATATTTTTAAATTTATTTTTTTTTATAAAATTCGAATTTAAAAAAATATTTTTTTTTATAATTTGAAAAAATATAAAATTTTTTATTACAAAATTACTAGCAATAAAAAAATATAAAATTTTTTGCAAATGAAAACTACATTTTTTTCTAATAATAATTTTTTTAATAAAAAAATGTGAAAACATTATTTTTTTTTAAATAAAAAATATATATTTTTTGTTTAAAAAAAGGAATATAAGTTTTATATCATTATATTGTAAAAAATAATAAACTTTTTAATATAAAAAAAATAAAATTTTTACATATGAAAAATACAACATTTAGATTTCTATAATGTTAATTTTTATTGTTTTTTTTTTTCAATTTTAACTTACCTTTTTGTTGTTTATCCAGCCAGCTACAATTATTGTTCGGGTTTCGGGTTTTCTTTTTGTTTTCTTCTTCTCCTTCTTCTTCTGCTTAGTATTTATTTTCGCTATTAGTTTTAGCTAAGGTTTGTCTTTAAAATTTCTCTATATATTGTTATGGTATTGGTTGTTATCTATCCTTCCCCTTAATCCTCCAAATTTCTAAAGGCCTGTTGCATGTCCTCATGCAGTTGTTCGAAATCGGCCTTTATTTTTGTCTCGCCATCCTTGACGGGATCCTGTAAATACAGCATCATTTCAATTGTTAGTCTCTCTCTCTCTCTCTCGCTTCTTTCCTCTTCTCAACTTACCTTAAATTTCATCGATGACAATTGATACATAATATTACCCATCGATTCGCGTATGGTATTCCATGTCACCTTATTATCCGATTGGGCCGTCGATTCCACAGCATGCCGGGCCAATTCATAGAAGGCAATCATATTCCTGAGCATACCCACTGTCTTATAGAATGGACACACACGATCATAGGGAGAATAGGAATTTTGTTGCAAGAAATCATCCTTCAACAGTTTGGCAACTTCCAAGGTTATTTTATCGGTCTCGGCCAACGAGGCCTTACCAACCAGCTG